TATCTGGTCTGCTTGCTGTATCTCAAAAGAAGAGACTTAGAAGCTATCACAACGACCAGACTCAGACTACATCTGGAGAGTCACGCCTGCAAGGAGAAGGGGGGGGGATAAAAGGAAGGTTGGGACAGAACATTTTTGCGTGCCATTGGTGGAGCAGGAGACTCCCCGGCCGCCCAGCGCTGTGCTTTGCCTGCCTTACTCGCTTGCTATTTTAAATAAAATTGCTTTATTGAATTAAGACACTTCAAATTGTCGTGTCACAATTTATAACATTCATGATACATGATATCCATGCGTACAGCTCATGTAAATAGAATTAGGTATAACAATAAACTGTCCAGTGACATTACACCATTTACACATATCACAGCTGTCAGTGGAGAAGAAATACTATTTCTGAAGAAATATATTTCATTGTTTTTTCTTCCATTTTCAGAACTATAAAACTTATTATTTTATTAATCTAATCTTGAAAAGAGCCTTCAGCTTCCCTTCTTCTTAAATTCAAATATCCTTTGTGTAAATGATGGCTTTTTTCTTCTCCAGGTCATACTCTGTGGATCAGTGATTCCAGTTCTAAATTTTGCCTTAAAGACAGTATTTAAAATTTGTCTCTCATATTCAAACTTCATATAAAGTGTACTCTTACTGAGGCTATTTTATGATAAGAAACAACGGAAGACTTAAAGATAAATCCAAAGTATTCCAAAGTGTAACCAAACAACCATAAGGAGACTATTTTTAGAACACATATTCCACTTACATGCAATTTAAATTCCCTCTACAAAGGGGTACACCTATTTATGATTTTTTCTGCCTGAACAATCCTCAAGTCTAAAAGGAGTTCCAAGACAGGTTAAATAAGAACTAAATTAATGATCCTAAGCCAATTAGAAAAGCAGCAAGAAAAAATCTTTCAATGTCAATAGAAACATATTTTAAAAGTTTTATTTAAGATAATGAAGTAAAGAAGGCAGAATGAATTACTTTGTAAAATTAGGTATAAGAAAAGCTATGGAGAAAAAAATGACATGTCATATCCACAGGAAGTGGAAAATAATAGTGAAAAAATCAAAACTAAAAAAAAATAATGCAAAAAATATTTAATAATTAAGAACTGTTAAAACTTAATGGGCTCTAAACAAGGAGGTAAATATAAAAAGTGTTGATTAAAGCATTTAATAATTGCACTCATAAATTATTAACTCAATAGTTAACCATTGTCTATATGACAAAAAATTTGTAACCAATGCTAGCTTAAGCATTGTACCTAGAATTCACTTCTTGATTTGATTTTATGAGCTAATTTATAATATGTATTCACTTGAATTTAATTATGTTGTTTGCTTAGAGATGTGGGATAGGTAAAGATAATAATGAAGCAAAAGATACTGGACAGTCTCTATCTTCTTCACAGAAATTTGAGTGTAAATTGACAAATGAATGCCTTAAGTGTTACAGTTCTAATTCTGTTTCTAAATGAGAAGCATAATAACATTAATTTGTTGAAGATGAATTAAAAGATCCAACTAATAAAATGGAAAAACACATTAATAAAATGTAATAGAAACTGACTGTAGTTGAAACAGGCTGCTTTATGACTTGTTCTCAGTGGACTGGGTTTTTTTACAGTTGTATCTTGGGGGTTTTTAAGTCTATGTAATTGCAGATAGATTAAAACAGTATCATGAATTATTAGAAAGAAGTGTGCTGAATAGAAATAATGTATAAAATCTTTTTAATGTTAGCATTGTCTTTATATTGTATCATTTAGATGTTTTTCCAAATCTGGTACAATTATTGAAGTGTGAGAGTCATTAGTTTGTCCCTATTGTCTGGAGTTTTCCTTAGTTCAGAGTTTTCCTTAGTTTGAAGTCAATAAATGCATTTAGAAAAGAGCAAAACAAATTTCTATAAAGCATGTTTTACTCTTTCATCACTAACCTCTACATATTCAAAACACTCCCTAACTCCTCCACTTCCTGAAGAGGGTTCTCTTTCTCTGCTGATTCTGAATAGTTTATAGCCACTTGTTGCAGCATTCCAGGAGTGCAAGTTATTCCACCATTTTTCTATGACTGCTTGCACTGTAGTATTTCAGCTTCACAATGTTTTCCATTGGTGTAGATGCATTTTAGTTGGGCTACCAATCTTGTCACCTTTTTAGGGGATGAAAACCTAATTCCTGTGTGACTGTTCTCAGGTGCTTCCATGGTTTCTAACTCTTCAAAACCCACCCCTGCTGCACAAATTATCACAGGGCTAACTGAGATCTGCTAGTGTCTACTTGCATACCATGCTTAAATATTTTTGATCATCAGGCCTGCTGCTGACAAATGGGGTATACCTGTCTTAAAGTGAGAAAAGAATCTTTACTCAGGAGTTAACAGGCCTCATTAAAGGTGTTTTAAACTAGATTTGATGAGGAAAGGGGATAAGAACAGGCTCACTAGAAATAAGCCTGGGAGCACCATGATGATCAAAACCCACAAAATTCTGCCAGGACCAGTCTGATCAGTCTCACATTCAGATCCTGATCTGTTATTCCCTTGATCTGCTTCCTGATTCTTCCTTCATCATTCCTTGCAACTGGAACAATAGAGGAGAATTTCATATGTGCTCCTGATCTCTTAACCAGTTAGTCTCAAGATGCTGAATTCCCTTTTTGATTGCCCTTGGACTTCTTATTGCATTTTCATCACTGCCTGCTTGAAAAAGTATTAATAGTTAATAATCTGACGCCTGTACCAGAGTAGAAAATTTCCTACTAACGTCTTTAACACAGGCTTAAGGGGCAGCAGACTTCCTTTAAGACATGGATCCAGAGTGCATATTGGATTTTTTGTTCCTCTCAGAAGAAAGTCTCCTATGACAATAAAACATCTTTTTTTTCTTTTTCTGTATGGAAGCAGTCTTGACACAGGAGGTGACTTAAGCTGACTTAACCTCAGTGACATCTCTGACCTAGATGAACAATCCTTTTTGTTGCTGTTCAGCTGCATTTGCAGAGCCTTGTACCTGTAGTATACCATGGTACTTGGGAGCATGGAGTAGTAATGGAGGGGATGCTCCACTGTGCAAAGCAGGAAATTGTCACCATTTCCCCATATCTCTTAAGTCATTATGTTCTGCAGATTAAACAGGATAGGGAATTCCCTGTGTCATGCACCCTGTCTGCCTGACAGATTTGTCCCTGGGAAGGTAGAGAGTTCTTCAAGTAGTCTGTCTCTCACACAGACTCTCTGATGCAGCTTCATTAGAGTCCCACAGACCTGTCACTAAGTGGAGGTGTTCCTCTACCTGGGCACACCTCCCACAGGTATGCTCACTGCAAATGTTCCTGCATAGGGCACATTCTGCATCTGACACCTAGGCAGGCAAATACACAAGGTGAGATACAAGTTAGCAAGACTATGATAGCACAATAAGAAAACAACCTTTGGTGGTTCTTGTATGAGTAGAGAAAAACTCGGTGTACTGCAAAGTAAATGCAGATGATAATACCAAGAAAGTCCCATTGTCTTTTTTGTCTTCTATCTCCTCCTTTTATTTTATTAAAAAATAATTTACTGAAAAGTTTATAGTAATGAGGCTCTTGGCACAGTTTACACCTGTAACATGAAGATAGAAGTCAGGTTAGAGCCAGAAGAGATGTCAAAGGGTAAAGTTTGATGAGTTCCTGATTTAAAGGCCTGTTGTTACCAAAAGGAGGGATGATTTGCCATGTGCAGACATAAAAACCCATAAACCAGCATTAGTCACATGCTCTAAGTCTTTTGTGCTGGCTCTTGTATTTTTCTGACCCTGTGATGAACCAGTCCAGCTTGCTAAACAGGCAAAATGCAAATCCATTAACAGTTACAAGAAGTGATTGTTTATTCAACAGTGGTTCATAAGAATATTATTTTTATGAATCACACCAAGAAATACCAATTTTCAAATAAAAAAGCTGCACGGATAAACTATTTTTGTTATCGTCTGGGATCATGTTCCCTCACTAGCCCATATCACTCACTTTTCAGAGGTCTACCTCCAGGTTTTGTGTAAAAAGTCTCTGTAGAAAGGACCTACAACCCGTCTTGCAGAAGGTGACAGTGATAGAAATTCAAGAACTCAGACTGTAGAGTTGCTGTGCCATGTGCAATGTTATACACCTGAAGATGACACAACAAAAAAGACCAGCCAGAAACTTGGGCAGGTTCAATTCAGATACAAGAAAGTTTCTTTTTGAGACGTGTTTCAGAACCAGAACAAGATTCTTGCAGAAGGAAAACAGGTTTTTCCTCTCCTGGTGTTTACAAATACTGACTCAGCAACTTTATGAGTACTTATGATACTAAAACTCAAGGATTTTATGTCTACACAAAGATTTTGCTAGGCCATCTACTAAAAAAATACTGCAAACTTAAAAATGGGGTGTTTTACTTCACAGTCAAGATATGTGTGTTTAACTTGGGATGCCAGGTGCAAGGACACACTATTTTGTGATATTCTGCTTAACTGATTATTACTTCGTATGGAAGACAATACTTTAAAAAATTAGCTAAGGAGGACAAAGCTGCATTTTACTACGACTGGATTCAAATTCTCGCGCTCTGACCCTCGTCACAATGCCGGGGGGAAAAAGAACTAAAGAAACTTCCCCGCCTTAATAGAAGGCACGTCTCTGAAGCAGCTGGCGTTCCTCCACTGGCAATGCCGACTGCTTGTGAAAAACCTTTTTATACTTTTATTTGTGAGGTTTTCGAGTACGGTTCCACAGCCCCGTCCGATATTCCGCAGCACAGCAGTGCCGCTCAGCCTGAAGCCACGGGGCGGTGCGGGAGCCGCGCCGCGCAGTCCGGAGGCGGTGCCAGGCTGGAGGCGGCGGCGCCGGGGCGGAGCCGGTGGCGGAAGCGGCGGGGCCGGCGTTGCCGGGCGGAAGCGGCGGCGGTTGGTGTTTAAAGGCTCCGCGGCGGCAAAAGGGCGGCGAGTGGCGGCAAGGCGGGCGGAGTGGCCCGGGAGCTTCCTGGTCTCTCCGCTCCGCCTCGGGAGAAGCCGGGCGGAGCGCCGAGATGGTCTCCAGAGCCGCCGATCGGCTGCTGATCGTCGTCTCCGTGCTGGAAGGTAAGAGAGACGGGCGGGAGGGCCGCGGCCTCCCGGCTGCTGCGCGTCCCGTGTGACCCGGGAGGAAGATGAGGGCTGGTTATGCCTCCGAGTTTTCTCTGGAGATGTGAGCGGGGTGAGCCGAACAGCATTGAGTAAACCGATGTTTTTAATAAAGCTTTGCGCGTACATATCTTAGGCCAGGGTTGCCTACCCTCTGTTAGGTTTTGGACGTATTTATCCAATGTATTAAGTGAATGAGAAAAGTAACAATCGTTCTCTGAGGATTTGGGTTTTGTTCTTTTTTTTGTTGTTGTTGTTTGTTTTTTGGGTTTTTTTTTGTTTTGGTTTTTTTTTGGGTTGTTTTGTTTTGTTTTTTAGGGAGTATTACAGTATTTCTATTCCTTTGTAACATCAGCCTTACGCTTTTTTTGGTAGTGTTGACTCAAACGTGTATCTAGTTGGTTGTCTTGCATTTCTATAGGTTTTCGTTTTTCGTTTCTGTAGTCTAATTACAGTGTGTGTGAGTGAGTTATTTGTTAGGATGTCTTTCTCTCTTTTGGACTATTTTAGAGATTAGTGGTGGTTTGGGTTGTTTTGGCTGAATGCTTTCTCTTTGTCAAGTAAATCCTATATCTCTCTGTCCATTTATGTAGTTTGCCAAAGGAGCTTACAAATGAGAGATCCTGTCATATTATATGCTTGTAGTATTGTCTCCTCACACTGTGATATCTGTGATATAAGTAAAGTTTTACTTCTTTTTTGTCATTTCAAATCAGAGTATTGGATAATCCTGAGTCCAGGACCAATTCTATATGGTTTCAGGCACTCTCCTAATCTGGTAATGATTTTTTTTCAGCAAGTGGCTGGAGAAACACCATTCACTACTTTTATAAGATCATGTTTTTCTATTTTGATGTTGGACAGTCATAACATTTTCAATTGAAATAAAGCATTCACTCTATTTCTCATGCCTTTTCCCTTACCAATTACCAATCATAGATTTCTCAAATAATTATAATTTTCTGCTACTTTGCTTCGGTACATAATTTCCTGATTCTTCACAAATAGTCTGTTTCATTTCTGCATAATGCAAACACTTTTTCTTTAAAGATCAGAGCCAGGAAGGTGACATGGGAAATTAATTTCATGTAACTGATTTATGGCATCAGTCTGAGCTCTTGCATCTCTTTTAGTGATGGCACATGCAATGCCACTTTCTTACAGGGCGCTGTTTCCCAAAACGACCCAAGCACGAGCTTGTAGTTGAAGCCAAGTTAGATGGTGAACAGTTGGCTACTGACCCCGTGGAGCATACTGATCAGCCAGAATTTGCTACAGAATTGGCCTGGGAACTTGATAGGAAAGCACTTCATCAGCACAGGTAATGTTAAAAAGTGAAGTCTAATTTGCAAATAAAATTTAACTTTCTTGCCTTTCGAGTTAGTGAAATACAATTTTTGGTTTACTGTCATCTGAATTGTTTCTTGGAAACTTTCTTTTATTTTTATCTACAATAATGTTATGGGAAAATGTACTAATGTACAAAAAAAGGTAGTATGTGGCAAGATAAGTGATGTTTAAGAATTCTAAAGAGTATATTTTCACACTACTAAAAAACACCCTGCAGACTCTTAGAGCAAATTATAATTCTGTAATTCAAACATTGTAGTCAAGCTTCCTTATGCACACTGTGGCACAAAATTAACTTAATTTTAAGTCTGAAAAGTCTGTGTAAATAGTTTTTGAAAATTTCAAAGAGATAAGCTGAGAAATTGAATGTTTCCATAACTGTTATTTAATTTCACAGGTCTTACAACTTACAGGTTGTAATTTTATGACCATATTATAAAAGAAGTTTAAAAAGCTGTGTCATTTTTATTTGACAGAGAAAGATGTCTGTATTTGCCACGTGCTAGGTGTCTTATGTGTGCATTGAAGTAGTCAGGTGGTTTACCCAAAAATCTTGTGCTCCTGTTTTTAAGATGCCACTCCAAGTGAAATTCAAATTTTGTGTGAGGTGCTGTGTTATTTCTTTTATGTGTGTGAGGTGTTTATGTTTTGCTAATGTCTTTTTAATAGCGCTTGAGACTGAGGCTCCAACACCCTCTTAAAAAATTAAACCACTTGTTAATTCTCTCACTTAGTCATGACTTTTGTATGTTCAATATAAATTCAGTTTCCAACCTAATGAAACTAGTTATATAATGTGTTTTGTATCATTGGCTTGCTGGAAATTTACGAACTGTCTTTCAGAACTAATTGCAGGGATACATTTTATATTTGCTATTTCAACTGAGTTACTTTTTCAGACTGCAGCGTACACCTATCAAACTCCAATGTTTTGCGCTGGATCCTGTATCTTCAGCTAAAGAGAATATAGGCTATATTGTACTGGATCTAAGGGCTGCACCAGAAAAGAAACAGGTATGTTATGGGGTATAAAGATTTAAAAATCTGTTTTGACAGCAATGCTGTTACAGATAATACAATTTGAATTAAAGCATAGGTTAAACTTTTGAGTCTCGTTTTGGAGTACAACTGATCATACATGGGGGATTTTTTTGATTTTTTTAAGGGGAGAGACGTCTTGACTCTGAGAACATGCACAAATGAAAAACACAGTTGGTACTAATCTTCTTGCTTCTGAATTGAATAATAGGATCACTAGCAACCAATTAATCTACACAATCTCATTATTTAATCAACTGGAAAATTTTGACTAAGCAATAGAAATGGAGCAATTGAATTTACTCTCCATCATGAAATCAAGTCTTGTTTTTTTTCATTGGGCCTCCATAGAAGGAGATGTTAGGTAATGTTTCTGCTGCTGTTTAATACAGCATAGTGTCAGCAGAGTATAATTGCTTTTATAAATTTAATTAGCCAATACCCTTGTATCAAGCTTGATCAAAACATTACTTTGATATGGGTCATACAAGGAGTCTGGTGTCTTATTTTGGTATCGTTCTTCTAGAGAATGACTAATTGTGCAGTTGAAGACTTGAAGGTTTTCTAAGTAAAGATTTATGGTATATTTCTCTAACCTCTGCACTGTATAAGTCAGTGAAAAAAGCCTACTCTGTTCAGGTAGTCATTCAGTAACCATTCTATAGAATATTTTAGTAAAATAGTGTACTAAATAGACCAAATTTTGAAATAAATAAAAATAAAAACCAAAGTGTATTTCTATAGGTGATGAAGTAGAAGTGCTACAGTAAGACTGAGTTTTCTGTAATAGTATTATACTATTTTTTTTTTCTGTTGTATGTAAACACTTTCGGGTCTTATTTTTGTTTCTTACTCTATAGGCACCTAAATGGTATCCTTTGCTTAGTAACAAGTACCCTAAGTTTAAACCTGAAATACAAATTGGTGTTGCATTGGAGGCAGATTCAAAAGCACTGGTTGATGATTTTAAAGCAAAGGAGGCACCCCCTAGAGAAGAGAAGGGTAAGTAACATGACGTCACTCAGTTTGAATTAAAAGTCTTCCTGTGCCAGATGACATATCACTTGTTGCAAATGTGCAGTTTTAAGTATCAAGAGAATTTTAATTTCACAGCAGTTCCAGCTGATTAATGTACCTTGTGGTAGTAAATTTTTCAAAGATTCTTTACTGCGATAATTGTGTGACTTTTAGATGGACAAGTTGCAAACCAACTGGTATTTGAAATGAGATTTAGGGGCTCCTAGTTAACTCTGTTGGGTATTTAACTTGTATTTATGGGCTTTAGAAGGTTACGAAAGAAATAGGAGAGGAGCTTCTTTATAGAAGGAAAAGTTTCAGTAGTTTGGGCTTGGAACTGTAAAGAAGTAAAGTGTCTCATTTGTTGGATAGACTTGCTTCTTTTTTGGTGTGTTCTTCTAATCTTTAGGTACTTAAATTATGTGATAGTTAATTTTTTTTTTTTTGTAATAACATACGCTTAATGTTGGGACTCATTCCAATACTGAATTCTCTTGTTTATTTTTCTCAAAGGAAATCAGTGAAATAAGTCAAAAATCTATTGGAACTCAAATGTTAACACTAGTAGGTACCTTTCTGTGCTGTGCCTTTAAGTCACTTTTCTTCTGTTTGTTTTGTTTTTATTTTTAATGCAAGTTAGTAGTTGTTAAAAAAAATAAAAACAAGGCCTGAGAAACTTGATTTAAAGAGTCCCAAAGCAAAAACGTATTTCCATCTTGCCCTGATCTTTCACCCAAATGCCTATCTACTTAACTTTTGGAAAATTAGCGTTTTGGTACATTTTCTCCTGCATACCTTACAGTGTTCTTGCCCTGAAGGTACCTTTTCCCTAATTCTAAATCTGTCATCTATCTGCTGATGATCTGTGGCTGTGATTTTTGTAGAAGTAGAGTGGTCAGTGGCAGTAAGTGTTTTATAAGCCAGAAGCTTCTGGCCCAGAATTTACTGACTTGGCTGTATGTACTTCAGGATTGGTTAAGACAGGATTTAAGTTTTAGTGTAAGATAGCATACTTCATTCTTTCAGATTTACAGCAAAACACAGGGAACCTTCCAATTGTAACATCTGTAAAGGAGGCAAAGAACTGCTCCAAGGAATCATTTAGATTCTTTAGTCTGCACTTCCCATGTGGTCTTTGTGCCTGCAAGTTCTCCTGTCCGTCATGAGACTGGCAAACAAAAGAAGACCTTTCTGCCTTTACTCAGCACTGTTTCCCATTTCATGTTTTCTGTGGAATAACTGCTACAAACAAGTGTGCCGGCTTTTTCCTTTCTTTCATCATATCAAAATTAGTCAATATCATATTTACGTGATAGGGAAAAACAAACTTCTTGGCTTAAACAGTTGTAAAACTAATGTTCTGGGCTTTAGGTATGACAAAGCTGTATTACCCAATTCTAGTCTGGTCAGATACTTTTCCATTTAGTATTCATACATTCTTTTTTTCTTTACTGACTTAAGTTGTCTAAGGCTTCCAGTATTTGAAATGGAGCTTTTTTGTTCACAAAATGCTATGTCACTATTTCTATTTGGTGTAACCTGAGGGCTGAATGTGTTGAATTTCTGGTACTATAGAACAAAAACTAGCAAACCAAAATAGAGTTTTATGCATTGAAGACTTCAGATGAAAAATCTTTAAATAAAGCATTCTAAAGATGTGTGGGATGCCATACCATATTTGTTCCAATACATTGCAATATATGCGGTTACTGTCCTGCATTTTCGTTAATGAGCAAAGTAAAGAAATGGCATGGTATACTCTAGCCTGGTGAAATAAACTTGCAGTCACTGTACTGTTTCTTATTGTAACACAAAATAAAAATAGGATCTAGAATTCTGTTGAGCATGGTGTTCAATGTAATAGTTGTGAATAAAAGTTAATTTCAGATTTTTTTGTAGCTGTTTCAAAGTATAGCTCGGGACTACTTTGTTTTTTGCAAACCTTTGGTAACAGGCATCAAGATCTTCATTTGTAATTTCCATGTGTAATGCTTAAAAATAAAATTGCAATTACATATCAGATTGCTGCAGCAATTACAAAAACCACTAGTTACTTACATTTATTTCTTTTCTCTTAGTACTAACCCTTTTTTGTGGACTGGACCCTAAAAGTATTGTGCCAGTCTTGAATGAAGAAGAGGGCTATCATCAAATTGGACCAGCAGAGTATTGCCGAGATCATTTTGTCTTATCTGTAACTATTGTATTTGCCACACAGTTGGAACAGGTTTGTTTCCTTACTATGTGTAGTTTTTAAGAAGTGTTATCCCACATTATTATTTTCATCCTCCCATTCTTCATTTCTAATTAGTTTTTTATGGCTTTTTTGAGTTTATTTAAAGAAATAACCTTGTCCCAAAGTGAATTTATATTCATTTTAAAACTTTAGAAGTCCTTAACATTTCAGACTGCAAATGAAATATAATTATTTTGAAGTACTAAAACTGTGTTTACTTCAAATGATTCATTCTTAACTCTCTACTGCAATATAGTGTAAGAAGTTTGTGTACTGATAATATTAGTCTTCAGTGTGGTGCCCATGCACTGGAGTTCAAACAAGGTGAAATGCTTATGTAAGACTGAGTACATATATTGCCCAAGGGAAGGACTTCCTAGCTTGGATGAAGTCACATCACCTTTAGACCTCAGCTACCATGTTCATGCTGTACTGAGAGCGTTGTTTTAATTGGTCTAGAAGTCTTGTATAATAAGAGTTAATAAATTCTTTTCAGTCTTGTCATGTTTTTTTCTTTTTCAGGGAAAATAATTTTCCATGTCAGAATGGTAGGACCTTGAGGAGCAAAATTTACTGTGTTTGTTTGTGGCTTGTGCCTCTTCAGGCATTGAAGTCACAGTTGCAGTTGCCTACAGGATGAAGTAGCTGTTTGTCTGTTTCAATCTTTTATTTAATCACAAAGTATATAACAGTATCTAATCTGCAATATTTATATTGGAAATATTTTATGAAGGCATAGCTGAATACTCAGCTTATGTCTGATATTTGTGTAGTACTTGATGTTATTAAATACATGCCACTTACAGCCCTTGGTGTTGACAAGTCTTGCTTTTTTGCTTAAAAAAAATTAAAACATTTTTAATTTGAGCATTAATGTAATAAGATGTGTGGAGGGCAAGCTATGATTTAGGTCAGCTGGTCACTTTAAGCTCTAATTTCCAAACAATTCTTTCAGAATTACTGTAACTCTGCATCAAGGAAAGAGATACATAATTCTCTTCTGCATCTCTTTCAGTTAGTTCCTAGTACTATGAAGCTCCCTGATCGACAACCTGAGTTTTTTTTCTACTACTCATTACTGGGAAATGATGTCACAAATGAACCTTTCACTGATTTAATTAATCCAAACTTCGAGCCAGAAAGAGCTTCAGTTCGAATACGTAGTACAGTAGATGTTCTTCAAGTTTATCTTTGTGCACAGTCAAAATTGCAGGTAAGCTGTTTAATTTCAAATGTGAATGAAAATAAATAATTAAAAAAATAGAGTAGGTCTCAGGTTGTATCTGTGAAGCATTTCTGTTTCCGAAACTAAGATGGTCTTATAGTATTTTGGGTCAAATATAAGTTGATTCTCTTGCTGATATGAGGGAAACCGTAGCAGCAAATTTCGTAGCTCAGGTGGAGTGCTGTCTTTTTAATTAGTTGCTATTACAGCAGACTGGTTTACATATCATGATAAAAGCTGTTGCTGAAATATGATCTTCCAAAGAGCTAATGTGGCTCTCTGAAGAGCTCTGAGCTTTGGGGTCTGCACTGCAGTCAGACCATCTGCAACCCAGAGTCCTGCTTTGTGCTACCTATGGTAGTCCCATACCAGCTGTTCAGGTCACTCTTGCCTAAGCTCTAAAATCACTGTCCTAGGCACTCTTTGTGAATGATAAGTGAGGTCTGTCTTTCTTCCCCCAGTCTGTAGCCAAATGCTGTTTCTAAATACACTTACAGACATTTTTGGGCTGTTATGGGATATTGCTTATCTTTATTTAGCCTTGCCTTTAAATGGAGGACATGGTTTAGTGGTGAGTTGGCAGTGTTAGGTTAACGGCTGGACTCAGCAGACTTAACAGTCTTTTCTGAACTAAATGAATCTATGATTTTAATAAGGTAGTATATTTATGGGAATCTGTGCATGGCTTAAACTAATTAGAAAACAAGAGTCTACTTCATTGAGTGAGAGTGGTGTAGGTTTCTGATAATGTAGCTGGTAAATAAAGTAGAATTAGTTATAGAAAGTAATTTGTGGATCTGGACCCTTTTAAAGTTATTTTTCTTAAAGTTTATACAGACCATTCTAGGGTTTTTATGCAGAGTGGTTCAGGACTGCTTTTGTTTAAGTCTTTTATTGTTTCAAATTTTTAATTTTTTTGTCTCAAGTTTAAATATTATTGTGTAAGTGTTCAGAAACACACATAATCACAGGATATGATTATATGCTGGTCTTTTATTAAGAACTCTGGGAATCAGGGGTGCCAACCCAAATCTGACTCCAACATGGCTTTTGAGCTGAACGTATTTTATATTCTATCGTTATATAACTCACACATTAATTATTAAACTTATATTGTTCTATTATATACATTGACATGAGTTTCTTGTGATCTTTCTTAGGTCCCTGACCACAGTTTCTCATGATTATTCTTATGATTAAACAGTAATTATATTTAATTACTAAACAATCATCACATCTAACAATTATATCAATTATCATGTACTAGCTACACGGTGTGGTTCTAGCAAGTACTAGTTCTTCATGTGCTTAAGGTATTTATTTTTCCAGGGCCTACTTAGCTTATTTTCCTGTTAACCCTAAATTCCTGTGATTTTAAAACCCTTTTACTATAAATTGAAGCAACATGTGTGTTTGGAATTTATTCTTACTCTAAAGCAGTCTTAAAGTGTTTAATATAACATATATGATATCTCTGTAGGAAATTATACATGTTTGCATCATGTGTAAAGAACAATTTTTTGAACAAATGTTCTTGTGTGGTCAGATCCGCATTTTGATTTACAGCTTTCTTCCTTTGAGTTCTCACTCAGCATCTTAAATCTTAGGATATAGGATCAGAGCACTGTGTTCTGATTCTTAATTTTAACATATATTTCCAAAAATGAAGGCTTTTGTTGTAAAAGGTGCTAGTTGCCAGACTAGAGTCTGTGTATATGTGTATTGTATGATTGTATTTGTATGTTTGTATACATATGTATGTGCACCTAGATACGTATCCTGGCAGCTCACACCTTTCAGCACGACAGTTTTTGATAAGTGCAATAAATATTAAGAGTGGGAATGCAGTGTTCTGATCTGCTAAATCAAAACTGAAGTGACTCTTATTTGGGAAAAACCAAGTTAGTGTTTGAGTTTCAAAGAGTAACTTTGAGGAAAATAGATTACGTTAGTGTGTGTTGGGTTTTTTTTTAAGATCCATCTTTCACTTGTATGTATAAATATTAAGCTGTATAAGGAATAAACAGTTGAATCAAGTTTTCAAATGATTATATGTACCAGGAATTAAAACCACAGTTACTTAATCCCAAAAATCCTTTCCAGTTAAGTGGTGTCTAAATATATTCCAAAGCCTTTGACTAATCTTTTTCATTACTTTGGAGTCATGCATTTCATGTGCCTATGCATGAAAAGCAAGGATCTGTGCAGTGTTTAGAAGCCACAGAGTACTGAATTTATCCTACAGAAGTAATATGACAGATCCTCAGAAGGGCAGTGCAGTGATTTGCTGCTGCCCTGTCAGTGAGCATATCCCACCTGCTCAAAACTGACATTTCATAGCTGTTCTTACTCTCAGCATGCACAGACAAGGTTAGAGATGATAACCTGTATTTATGCTACCTTTAGTGGAGGGTGCACAGACGGTTCCAGTGCAAATTGCACATATCACTTCCTTTCTAGCACCTTTGTGTGTGTGCAGGTCCATCTTTGCTGTGGGGACCACTCTCTTGGAAGCACTGAAGTTCCCCTGTCTGGACTCCTGAAGAGTGGAAGTGTGGAGATTGACCAACACCCTGTGGCAATAGAAGGACCATTTGTTCTTGTTCCACCAAATAGAGCTAAACAGAAGCTGCCACAGCTGCCTTTGGATCTGGCCCCTACTGTTGGGGTATCTGTAATTCTTCAAAGGGAGAGCTTGACTACCCAGGTATGTCTTACCCATTCGTTGTTGATTTAGACACAATTTCACATTAAAAAATTATTGGTATTTCTTAACCATATTTGACTGGGTTTGTGTAACCCTGAAAAATTTAATTGCTTTACATGAATAATCCTTTCGTTGGCATTTTTATATAAATATAATAATAACAAATAATCTCATACTATTAAAAATAATTTCATACTATGAAATGTCATAGACAAAATTTTTCAATACAAGCTATGGTCAATAAGAAAACTATCATTTCATCTAGCCTTTGATTCCCTTAAATGCTGCAACTGAACCCAAACAGCCACGGGAGAAAGTTCTTTCACATGTTACTGGAAAAACAGAGAAGCAGCAGCAGAGATCCCAGAATGTACCATCTCAAGCCAACCAGTGTTCATCAAAAGAAGATGTAGCAACAGAGAGTGAAGTGGAAAGTCTTAAGTTTGAAAAAGGCACAAAACCAAGGAAGAGGGGTATGTGGTATATATTTTTTGCCCAGTTGCTAAGTGTAAGGCTGGCATCATATACTACTCCTTTTAGTATATTCATGAGGTAGTACTCAGTTCTGGTGATAAATTTCAGGCAAGTCAGAATCATTTGCATAAAACAAATAACAGAATGGGGATAAATGTTGTGATTTGAACATGCTCATTATTAAGTACACTTGCAAGAGCCAGATTAGGGATTTGAGGTTGCATAGATTACGAGTGATGTGGATGGTCATCAGCTTGAAAAATCATAACAAAAGTTTTTGGAATTTTCTGGAGCTGTGAATGAGAAAGTTTAGTGCAATGCCTATGAAGAAACTGACTTGCTCAGTGAGATGAAGTGGTCTAATGTTAATTTATTCAATAGAAAAGTAGGGGTAATGTGGGATTTTTTGACATTTCTAAGGAATTATAAAGGTTTTTTTTATTCTAAGTTTTCTAAGGAATTTCTAAGGAATGTGGTAATAATTTGTGAAGACAGGTGTTCATATAGTATAGATTCCTGGACAAAACCAAGCAACTGGGTTGTTTTGTTTGTTTTTACATGATCCTTTTGTTTGGACTTGATAGCCCAAGCCCTAGGAAGACTTGTTACTGATTTAAGAGCTGGTAAGTGGAAAAGTGGAAGAGGAACAGTGATGAGGAATACCATAATTACAAAATAAATCTCAAAAAATGTTGTTTTGATAAATGTTACTGAACATTAATCTTCTTAAAGGATCATTTATTAATAAAGCAGAGTTATTATTTTTCTAATTATATTTGTATTGCTGACCTTTTGAGCTTTGTCCTAAAGATGCCCAGTTCTGTAGAGGAAATTCCATGTCCTAGAATGAGCTCTCAGGATTTGTCTGCTAATTCAGCCAAATTTTCTTTTAATCATAATTGATTTTATTTAAGCAAGGATTAAGTACTTTATATGGAATGCAAAGAGAAAGTATTGTGAACCCAACAGCTGGATTGAATCTCTGGTTAGGAAATTGAGGACTGTGCTTTTTTTATTAATATTAATAATAATTTTATAATTCTATTTTGCTAAGATGTAACACATGTCATTTCACATTTGTCTTTCAGGAGTGCTCACTGGCTACCCTCAAGAGGTTAACAAACAGTGTTTTGAAGAGCTTCCAGCTTTGAAATCGCAGAGCAGAGCAAAATCACCTCTGACAGATATGCAAAATCCTAGTAAGGCAAAATTATTGAATTTAGTACCTTAAATTTAATTTGACTATAGTACCAACTTAATGAAATTTAACAGTAAGCTATATGTACTTAAAAGCTGTATGATCCTAAAATTCCACTCAGCCACCTCTTTGCACCAAGCAATCTACTGGTATTTTACCTGAGTCACTTAAAATTGTTTCATTAATACATTGTGTTAACTAACTGATGTAGTATTACAGCATTTTTCTTTTTTGTAATGGTGATATTAATGCAAGCAAAACACTTAGAAAAAAAAAGGAGGAAAAAATAAAGTCAATATTAGCAATGATGTATTTCTTTAAAAATTAAAAAAGTGGAAGTATTTTAAATAATTATATAGAAAGTGTCAGAACAAGTAGCACTTACAAAAAGTAGTTGAATTCTTATCTCATACTTTCATTCCCTCTTTTTGTATGGGCTTAAAATAGCCTAAATAGCCCTTAAAGACCTAAATAAAATGTCTTGAGCACTTTTCAAGGACACCTTTTGGAGACCTGTCTGTGGGACTTGTAGTTTGATGTTTTACTCTCTGAAGGTAGTATTGGGTCTCACTGTATGACATGAGAAGCCTGGATGCAATTGGGCAGTTACTCAAAGTTGCTTCTGCTTTCTAAATTGTAAAATGGATGTCACAGTATGTGGGTTCTGTGACAGAAGCAGATGTGCTTTGCACATTTAAGTTTGCTTCAATGGCTAAACCTCACACTGGGGCCAAGGGTGATGCTGCCTTTCATGAGCACAATTGACCTTTTAAGCTGATTGTCTTTGTAATTTCCCTAACGAGGTTAGTTAATTTAAAAAAACCCCTAAATTTCTAAAAATATTTCCCTATGCATGCCCTCAAATTGACTATGAAAAATTAGTATAAACTGAAGTCTTACAGCATCTTTCTGAAGAACTTAATTTCTTTGATCTTAGTGTAAGACTTGTGCAGTGAGTTAAACCTTATATCACTTCAAATATTAATAAAGGAAAAATACTACAATTCTGTAAAAAGATTTAAAGTATATTGGTGTTTTGGTGTTTTTTCTTTGGAAGCAGTAACTTAAGGAGTGGTTATTTTTCACAATACTAATTCATTTTACAAGTAGGTTGCTTCCTTGAGAGATTCCTATCTCATTGCATTAAAATGTGCATATAATAATAATTTATATATTTTGTTATTTTGGGCAGAACAATGCCCAAAAAAATGCACATCAATTCTCTTTTGTGTTTTCAGCTGATAGTGGTCCAGTAGCGATATCTCAGCTTAACCCTGTGGGTCTGTCCAGTCCTTCTGAGCCTGCATCAGCACAGAAAATTGTCATTCCAGCAGCCTCTCACCATTTTTGCTTTTCAATAGACTTAAGAAGTATACGTAGTCTGGAAGTTGGTTTTCCAATAAATTGCATTCTAAGGTACAATTTGTTTTTGTTATTCTTGGTAAATACGAAGTCTTCATAATCTGAATAATTTCTCATGGTAGGTGCCTCTCTGCTTCTTCATGCCTTTTAAAATGTAGCTGATTGTTAGTAGCAAAATACTTTAGAATGTTCATCTGGCTTATCACTAAACTGAGCATTAAAGCTGGTGGGTTAAACTTTACCTTTTAGTGTAATTTGTATTAAATTTAATTTGAATGTATGAGGTTTGACAAGGAACATCCATCTTTAAAGGAATAGGAGAATTGCTTTTCATGTTACTTTCTGGCTACATTTCCCACTCATCAATGACTTGATGAGTTGTTTATTTTTTTTTGTGTTGTTTTTGTTGTGTCTTTTTTTTTCTTTTTGGTAGTTTCCCACATTGCCCCAAGAACTCTTTATGGTGTTTTAGTAAGAGACAGATCACTGGTTTGTGTATGAATCTGAAGGAAGAAAATTCTCATTTTAATGAAGAATCAGTGTACTTAAATGCATTTCTGAGAGACTTTTAAATAAAGGGATGATTTTGATGGTTTAAAAAATAAATTTTTCTTTTGTTATATTAATTATTGATGGTGTATGTGAAGTGAGTAATTAATAATAGTTTTTGCAATTTGTCTTCTCATTTCCATCAGGGTGTTTTAGATGTTTGTGATGAAATATATCTTCAAATGGTGATTCAGTCTGAAAGCACTGAGGATTTCTAACTAGAGAGCTGCCTCTGTATTTGCTCTACTTCTTTTCTGGCAGAGCTTGTTTCATGCAGTTTTAACTAGACACTGGAAAATCTAGTTGTGGTGGTGGTTCTTGGTGTTTAGATTTTGTCTGAACCAGGTTGAAAAGTTGTGGATGATATGTAGGGCTGGAATATTTTAAAATACAGCTAATATAGAGTTCACCATTAATATCTTTCCATATAGGCTACATTACTAAATAGTATGCAGAAGGCAACATACAATGGATGTAATTTTGTCACATAAATATTTTCTGTAACATTTCAATAATTAATTTGTTTTGTAACAGTAACGACACATAGTTTTTTTTGTTTTATGCACTTGAATTTTTATAGTTAGCGATGAACATGGCAAGAAAAGAGAAACATTGAGATACATAAATGTTAAGAACAGTTGCAGGGTAAAAAATTGCATATTCACTGTAGATTGGAAGCATTATTTTATTACAGTCTAAACAAGTTCTTTAAACAGCTCTTCACAAAAGGTGAAGAATGCAATTTTTATGTATTGAGGCATCATTTGCTGCAGCTTTTATTTTATTAGGAACTTGGCTGACAGCTGGCATCATCAGGTTGAACAAAATGAAGTTTAAGAGGTTCATGACCTTTGCTACAGTTTATCATACACTGAAATATGCCAATAGAGTAGTTTCAGGCCACATTTTAAGTCATGTTGGTAAAATTATTTGACTTGCTTTTTAGTCAATTAAACTGTGGAAATGAAATAGCTAATGAAGTTTTCTAATGGTGCTGACACTGTATATGTATACCTAGTTATCAATTATTGCATGTCAGTCTAGTCTGAACTGTAAATACAGTTAAAGATGTTCTCAAGTAACAATCTATATGTGAGTATAAATTTTTCTTCTGTCTGCTCAGTTTATATAGTAATTGCAGAGTTCTAGTAAAATATGTATATGTGAATATACAGGTTATTAAAACATTTTTGTCAAAACAACAGCCAGTATAAAGAAGCTGGATTGTTCCTGAAGTAAATGACAACATGAGTAATTGAGAGCTAAATTCTATTGCTGAATGTACTAGTAAAAATTCCTTGAACTTTGATGCAAGTCATGGTTTACTAAATTATGTCTAAACTGGTTTTCCTGTTGCAGAAGGTACAAAAAAATTACCTATTTATAGAACTGTTATTTTTGTTATTTTTTTAAATTAGGTATTCGTACCCATTTTTTGGCAGTGCAGCACCTATTATGACAAGTCCACCTGTAGAAGTTAGAAAGAATATGGAAGTCTTTCTTCCAAAGTCATATTGTGCATTTGATTTTGCAACTATACCTCGTCAGCTTCAAGATACTTTCTTCAGGTAGCATTTTGCAATTTTTTTAATCTTAATTACATTTTTCTATATTTTGTTGTAAATGCAGTCACTTTAAGATTATCAGTTCTAGAATTTAGTGAATAATTCAAGGGCTAATGCCAGTAAATACTTAATAGCTTACTCTTCCAATTTGTCTAATAATTACATTTAAAGTCAGGAGTTCTACAGTTCTTGATTTTCTCTCTGGCATACCTGGGTATTGTTGCTTACAGAAACAACTATATTTGCCATAAATTTTAAAAGTAAAGCTTAATAGCATCAATTTGACAAAGTATTTCTAAAAATATGCATTTTTTTAATATGCAATAACTATACGATATCTTTAAAAATACAGCAGGTACCTGGAAAGCATCTTGCAGTGTTGAAGGCTGTAAAACAGTTCTCGTAGCACTTCCACCAGCTTTCAATAAATGATCAATACGTAAAATTAAAAAAATCATAAAAATAATATTTTGAAAGTAGCAGTGGAGGGAGATGTATTTTAACTGACAATGGCTAAAATTCATTTGTATGTATTTATAAATGAAGATGATCAAGTTGTATTAGACACCATAACTTCTGTCAGTCACTCACTGTAGCATTGTTAGTCCCTAATAATTGAAAGGAATGATTATCTGAACCAAGTGATTGAAAAAATACAAAGTCAGTCAGTCTCATTCCTCTAAGTGAAAGACAGTAAAACCAATTCATTTCTGACTTTTGTAACCATCATTGATTTAAGAAGTTACTTTTAGAACATGAGATGCTTCTGAATAATAATGTTTCCTCTTTCATTTTGATGCCTGACATTAAGATCACTTCTTTGTTTCAGATTACCTCTGCTGGTCGAATTGTGGCACAAAGATAAAACAGCCAAAGACTTGCTTCTAGGAGTGGCAAGACTTCAGCTTTCAAGTGTTTTGGCTTCAGAAAAAACCCGTTTCTTGGGTGGGAATGGTGAACAATGCTGGCGTCAGACTTGTAATGAAACAGTCAGTTTCACAGCAGCACAAGGGTAAAACTATTTAAAAAGTACTTAGCTCTGTAGCAAGTTTCCTAGAGTTGTTTGTTTAGTATTTCTCTGAAAAGCAGCAAGCTTTTCCTGGATAGCTTTTTGAATAGGTAAACAGGCTGCAGTGCGCTCAGAGAGAGGTGAATAGGCATCCAAGAGATGAAAAGCTAAACTGACACTTCATATTGAGTAATGTATACACTACTGTCAAAGTAATTATAATAAACCTTCATATAATCATGAGCGTTAGTGATGGGTATCCCCCCTTCTCCCAACTTAATAGAAAATTGACCTCTATCTTTTCTTTAACTTCTGTGGGAAAGCTGGCATGACCTGATTCTGTGAAGAGTTACCTTAAGGTCTCACTATATATTAAGGTTCATACTTTTACTGCTTGTTAAATGAAATCTGGTATTGCGCAAAGCATAACCACCAGATGGCATTCTCAAAATGTAATCAGGTCTGTGTTTTGCTATGCTGACCCCTTCTTATCCTTGCTCTTGTTGAATCATTTATTCAGATTTCTGATGTCAACTAATACAACTCTTGATTTCTTTTTTAGTCAGTAACCAGTGGAAAGTTGTAAGAATTTAATGCAGCAATTTTTTTCAACTTGAGTGAAATATAAGCATTTATTGGGATTTTTTTCCTTAGCAAATAACTGTAAAAAGCATTTTAGTGTCATCTATCTGTATTTGCTGAATGTGAATTTCTGAGAAAACTACAGCTGTGGTTAATTCCTTCAGCATCATGTTCTGCAGCTTCCAGGTGACAAGTGATTGTGTAATTTGCCTTACTAAGTGATTATCACTGAAATGAGAGGTTTTGTTTTGACCAAGGTCTACACTTCAGTGTACTTTCATGTGAGACTTTTGATCATTTCAGTTACATGACTTGTGTTCCTTCTCTTAATACCTTTCTGTGCAAAAGACTGGCTTTGTTTGTCACCTAGCTGTGATTAGAGACAAGGCAGTAGAAAACAAACTGTTCTTAAGCTGAAGCTTCCATAAATGTGTTTTTTAAGTAATCCAAGGATGTTTCACCACAAATTATATGCTAAGTTACTTATGTTGTGGATAACTAGGAGGTTACTGTTAAAGGCTTAACAAGGAAAGCTAAGGGAATTCAATGAGTATCATAAGTTGAGGTCAGCAGTAGTGTCTGTATATGAGCAGTTACATAATTAGAAAGACTTAAGACTGTAGGTATAATTTTGGTTTATTCTCTCATTGCAGGAATTGATTATAGTAATCTTTTAGTTAAATATGTTTCCAATGACGAGTTATCTGTTTAAGTCAGAAGGCTTGTTGTAGATTGATAAACTAGGCCCTATATTTAGGAAAGTGTGTTTAGGCTCTCACGTAGGCAACTGTTTAGAGATTCTGAACTTGGACAGAGCAACTTCAGCTTTGCTGTTTTGTGTGTTGTCTTAAAATTCTTTTTCTGTATCTTTAGACAGTTTGCATTAAACTAACATTTTAATGCTATTTATAGGTCAGGCAGCAGAATAGCAGAGCTTTCATACACCATCACCTTGGAAGACTACGGACTTGTCAAAGTGCAAGAAGTTATGGTGTCAGATTCTTCTCAAGTAAGTTTTATATAAATCTTTGCGTTTTCCTTTGAACATGTCTTTGATAAGTTGAGGTTTCAATGAAAAATCCACTTTTATTATATCAGGAAGTAGGTGCTGGTCAACAACGGCATGTTGCTCACACTCAGCTTCTCTGTGCCCCAGAAGACCATCCAGAACCTCGAGAAACTCTGGAATACAAAGCAGCACTGGAGTTAGAAATGTGGAAGGAAATGCAAGAAGACATTTTTGAAAATCAGGTTTTTACTCTCTTTTTTATTACCTAAACTATGTAATTGCCAGAGAAGTTTTAGCAGAATTGGTACAGAGAGTAACTTTAATTGTATTTTATTTTACCGGTTTCAGTAAGAACTAAATTTTACTCATACAGAATAATAAAACTTCAGATGTAAACTACTCCATTCACAGATTCCATGCTTTTAAGGAAGAAGGCTAATTCTTAAGTAAGTGAAGAAGGGACTGGGTTTGAAATGCAGAATACCATCTTCACAATTTCCCATTACTCTTTATGAAGTACAATAGATTCAAGGTTCAAACTATTGATGTTAAATATTAATTCTGTATTCTGTTAGTTGCATCTCAAAAATCATTGCTGTCTACTCTTGAGGTCATTCTAGGTGTTTTTGCTTGCTTCTGTGATAAACAAATATGATTCGTGCTAATAATTGTAACTATATTGATATTTTAGAAAATATTTGTTAAAAAGTAATAAAGTGATAAGTAATTAGTGTCACAAAACAGATGTTCCTAGATGTTCATAAGGTACAGGATGGAGTATTGAGATATTTTAGCACAAATGGCCTTGGGAAGGACAAAGCTGGGAAAAACTACAAGAGCATAATCGGCATTGAAACAATGAAAGTCCAGGCAATTCCTTAGGCCGGAACGACCTTGAAGATGAATAAGTTGGTATAATCCCAGATAGGGAACCTAAATTTGGAATTTAATGCTTACTTATATAATACCAAGTTCAAATGTGCATGTGCAACCTGCCAGATTATTCAGAGAACAGCGAGGAAGACCATGAGCCTTCATCCAAGAAGACCCCTAAAGAGTACAGAAGACCTCCAGCAACAATGGGAACATGCACTGTGTAATATAGTGACGTAGATTTCAAGAATTAAAATTGGCAGGAGATACACAGGAACTATTGATGAATATGTATTAGCATACAGTATAAAAGTTTGCTTGGATTTGTCTGCCTTTTGTACGTGTGGCAGGGTGAGAGGCCCTCCCTGTACGCCAACTGGTTTTGCTTATGCTTTATCTTAACTACTGCCAAATTTTTATTTGTAACTACTTAATTATATTTGATTTTATTATTATTTTATATACCTCAGTTAAAATTGCTGCTAAATTTTAACTCTTGTGGTTTATTAAATAGGACATATCAAACCTCATTCTTGACACCTCTTTTTAAAAGGGAGTGAAAATCTGGTATTTCTTTGGATGTTTTTCTCAGATATGCATGTACTTTGCACTATGTACTTAAGTTTAACATATTTTTCACTATCAGAATCATATCTTGAGAGCTATGCAAGTCAGCATACTAAACTTTTTTGCTTCAAGACTTAGGTCTGCTAGTGTTCTAAAGGTGCACTTCCAAAAATTTTGATCTGGTTTGGGGATTTTGTTTCTCTTTTTTCCTCTAAAAGCTTAAAAAGAAGGAAATGGTCCATATGCAAGCACTTGCAGAGGAATGGAAGAAAAGAGACAAAGAGAGAGAGTCATTAGTGAAGAAAAAGGTAAGGAAATTCCTCCTTATATTTGCAGAAAGTCTGAATTGTTATAAAACTAACAAGGTATTTGGTTACTTGTAACAAAGGGTCTGTAATGAACCTTTGCACCTACTGATATGCATGCATTTAGTCTACAACAGTGCAAAAGAATTAAAAGTAGCCTTTAATCATAGAATATTTGTTAGAAATTTCCTAAGGTTAGTTTGCTGTATATAGGAGCTCTTTGATTGTATTTTACTTGCCTGGTCAAAAAGGCTTTCTATGGCTTATGAATTAGAAGTAAGTCCTCCATTGCAAGTTCTTAATTAAGAGCTGGAGATTCGTTTTTTATGGAAATTTCTAAATAAAAATACAATATTTTTTTTTTCCTCTCCTTTGTTTAGGTAGCAGAATATAATGTTTTGGAAGAAAAGCTTCAGAAAACCCTGAGAGATCTGGATAAGCGAGAGCGACAACTTTTTAGTGCTGAATCAGAGGTAAAAATTGGTTGTATTAAACAATGTAATTGCATTAGCTACTTCTATAAGGTTTGAGTTTTGTGACAACTGTATTTTGTGTATAAGATACTAACTAGCCACATTCCTCGTGATATGTAGAGGAACACTAACAGTTAAGCCGAGTTTTGTTACAGCTACACTTCTTCACTGAAATAAAAATTCAGTGAACTTTTAAATGGGTTGCAGAATTACGGAACTGTAAGCCTTCTATTATTAATAGAATTAATGTCAGTGCAGACATTTATATAACATTAGCATAACTCAATTTTAAGTTTAGCACTGTCAGATGAGTATTGTACACATACATAAGAGTGCCTTACTTCAAAAAATAATTGCTAGATTGATTATTGAAATAGGAGAAGGTGACAGGAAGATCTGAGAGCAACTTCAAGTTTTGTTACACAACATTTTCAGAGTTCCTACTTCTGTTTATTTTTTTTCAGTAGTGACAGGTTGAAACAGGGTACAGGAGAAGCAAATAACTTCCACTGTACTAAACACCCCCAATCTGGCAAAGTGGGTTGTGCTGGTCATGTGGAAAAATAAAATAAGCTGCCTATTCTTGTATTTCAGAACAAACTCAAAATGATGTAGGTAAAGTACTGCAGTGTTTTAGCTGTCAGAAAAACTTTTTCCTCTTTGTAACTCAGATTCTAATTTTTCTAGCCTACTATTCCCTTCTATGCTTGAAACAAAATTGAGGGTTCCCAACGCAGGAATTTGCTGGCTGAGCCAGTGTCCTATTCAGTATCCAGGCTAATCTCAAGATGCAGTTTGTACTGTAAATAATGTTTTGACTTTAGCATCTGTGCAAAAAAATCTGTGCTCAGATTTGACCAAGTGCATTTCAGTCTGAGTAGAAGTAGTAATTTTGAATCTCATGTATATTTCTCTAATAACTTTGTCAAAGTTATTTAAGATTCTGACCTGAGAGCTAGAGATGATAAAAATCAGTGGATTCAAAAAAACTAGTGATAATGATGTAGTGTTCAGTTAGTAAATTACAGTTTGAGAAATGAGCTATTGGGGAAGTTTCTATTCAGCTAGTAGTTATTTGGGACAGTAGCATCTTTCTAAGAAAGTTCAAATATGTAAAGGATTGTTCTTCTGTTCCGCTTGATGAGAAAATATCTCAATATGCTCAGTTTGAACAGTGCAGTCTCACTGATCTGAAGACATTTTGGCTTGTAGCTGTGACTTTCACAGTCTCTGCAATGGTGTATTTTGCTTTTCACTTTGTACTAGGAAGGTGGATGTGAAACCTGCCTTGAACGAATCATGTAGAATCATTTAGATTGTACAGAAGAGCTCCAAGAGACCTCTGTTTTTACAGTAGTTAAGCAAGGGTATATTTCTAGCCCAAATAAAATAATCAGCAGCTTGTCAGTTAAACTGAAATTCAATAAGAACGTATATAGTGAACATTTGGACAATGGGAATTTTATTGTTTAATTTCAGAAATTAATAACAATTTTTCAGTCATGAATAGCGGTAACAGTTTTAAGACTTTTTAAGTGAAGCTCTCACTGCTATGGATTAATGTAAATATGTGTCTGTTTTTAAGGTTCAAAGAGTAAAGAAGGAGCTGCAAGCAGATCATGAACGAAATCTGCAGGTGCTTCAGGATTCTTTGCGTCGAGCCAGGGAAGAATGTGCACACCAGCTAGAGCTAGAAAGGTCAAAAATCAAACAACTGGAAGAAGACAAGCATCACTTACATCAGCAGGTATGTACACAATACAAGTGCGCATTTTTCTAAGACTAGCAAATTCAGTAGTGGTTTGGAGGTGATTGTATTCTGGCAACTTTGTAACAAACATTTTATTTAAATTGGGGATCTCTGTGCTGAGATCCATCTGTGTCGGTCTTGCTCAGTTGTATGGTCAGTTGGCAGTGCAGTGCTTGTGATTATTTTTACAACATTAAAAATCAAGTTTCATTTGAAAACATACATTACATGAAGAACATGAACATCAGTGTACATTTCAGTAGCTTAAAAAATTATTGGCAATTAACATCTAAGTAGTTTGACCGTGCAGTTAGTTTTATTCTTTTATTGCAAAAGATTATTTTAGTTATCCTTATTGAGACAGGGGGAAATTCTTGTTATTGCAGTCTTCTATTCTGAGAGTAGTACTTTCTAAACAGAAAATTTAGACCATGTTCTGTTGTCCTGTGAGCTAACTTTGGCACTAACAACAAGTATAGTCTAGACATTTTTCCTGACTGTTAAAGTAAATTGTAAAAGTTAGTACTTACTTTTTTTAGCTGTTATAGCATTAGACACTTAATTTGTTATTAAGTAGATTAAGTCTTACAAATGCCTAAGTGTTCTGAAAGTACTTTGTTTACGTAGATTAATTACTTGCTTTGGTGTTTTTCATGTCTGATATGTGATAGTGATAATCCAATATTAGCTTTCACTGTTTGAAAAACTGTGTAGCCACAGCCCTATTTTTGTACTTAGTAAGAGTTGTGATAGATTTTTGTGAGTTTTTTCAGTTCTGTAATAAATAGTGGTATTAAAGTTCTTCTTTACTTGTTAGCATATGTTAAGCACAGCACAGTGAACTTTTTTTAAATGCAGCTCATACAAAAATGTTGCAAACCTTGAAGATTGTTCATCTTGATTCAGTGAGTGCTCAAGTAGAATAGTCAAACTAACTGTGCAGTGCAGTCCTTTTCAAAGTCATAAGTGGATCACTTTTGCATTTCATGTGCTGGCTGCCAGTAGTTCTTGTTCAAGTGGCCTAATGCCACCAGCTACTATTCTTAATTCATATTCATTCTTTCAGCACCCACTGACCATTTTTAGCTTCAACAGGCCTTTTCTAAATAAAACATCACAATCACTTTATTTTTCCTATTCAGAACAGACATACAGTTGTCAGAACAAGGAAATGAGACTCAGAAAAAAATGCAGTTTTTTAGTAATACCATCAAGGGTTATATGTATTCTTCTCCAGAATCAGTTTCATACTTAGTGGCCATCAGTAAAAGTTTTGTTCATGATCTCATATGATTCCTTATAAAAAGTATTTAGTATTGCAACATTCTGTGGCAGAGAGTTCTAAAATTTAACTGTCTTTCATATTTAAAAACTTTTTTGTTAATTTTAAGTACATTTTTTACTAATTTTGAAGAATCCCTTAGTGCCTGTGCAGCATACTCTACCTGATTGCATGGGTGCCTTTCATACTGTTACTTTTCCAAACACAAGCTCCACAATGCTTTCCTCCTGTTTTGTATGGAGGCCATTTTTTTCTAGAGCTTCCTGGCTGTCTTCCTCTTAGTGTTCCTGGTGTGCTTTAATATGTGGTGGCTGTTGCCACATATTGTGCATGAGACAGGCTTTTTTAGTTTGCTTTGTTGGGGGTGAGGTTTTGTTTGCTTACTTGGAGTTCCACTGTAGGACCCTGCTCTTTGTAACGTGCACAGCAGCAAGTTTCTGTTGTGAACAGATGAGTCTCTTTTTTTAAGACCTTTTTGAGTGTGGAGTTTTGTTTGTGTGGCTGTTTTTGTTTTTTAACACAGAATATTCTGGAATAAGTAATCTTATTTTATACCTTTTAAAGGGATTTGTCAGTACACAATTTCCACACTTAGACACTTAGAGATCTCTAGAATTCAACCTGTTTTGAGGTAAGCCCCACTATGTACCAAAGAAGATCCTTAAAGAATCCACCTTGAAGATCACCCTTAATTTCTGAATAAGGAAGTTGTGCTTTATTTATGGGATTTTTATAATTTCCTCATATCCATAATTCTGAGGTGTCATAAGAAATTCAATTTTTGTAAGTGTTTCCAGAACCAAACAGGAAATCAAACATTGTTATAGAAGTTCTAGGGACAGCTGATATTTCTATTAACAAAATAATTTAGTTATTGTTTGGCATTATGTCTGTCTCCTTTAAAACTAAATAGGTAAAAATTAAAGGTGTTAAACAGCAGTATCTTTTGTTCAAATTTAATAGTTTATTGTAGTTCTGTGAGAAAAACAATGACAGCAAACTGGTTTTGTATCACTCCCTAGGAAAGATCTTTACTTTCTTACATCCATTCTGTAATGATGTAAGAACTGTAAGTGCAAAAAAAGAGAAATTTGAGAGAAAAAATAGAGCTGACTCAATTAGAAGATCCAAAGAATTAAACTATTATTGTACTAGCAGAAATTGTTGGCTTTGTAACAGAAATTAGTTCTCTAAACAATTTTCACCCAGTATTTTAAACTGTGAGGTAGAATTCATAGAAATACTTGCATTATCTACTTGGAAAAAAATAAAAGATCAGCACATGGGATCATATTCTAGTCTGGAATACTTCAGTTCCATCAGGTGTATTAAGGTATTTATAGTTGAAAAACATTTAACAGAAGACTAAAACATTACAAAAAGTTCTTAGTATTTTTACCCTATTATAAAAAACACTGTTTAACATGTGTCATCTTTACTTTCTCTGTAGCAAGTAATTGTGTATTGGCATAATTTTTCAAATTACCCATTGTGTGTATCAAGCAAAGCACTCTCTTTATAAAAATCTTCTTGAAACTGTGTAAATACACTGTGAGGGCAGAGGGACTCAGAATTAAGTCATTAGTCACTTAAGCCTTTCTGCTTCAACCATTCTTCTAAATCATTTGGCTGTACAAAGTATTAGTCGTTTCCTTTCACAGACATTCCTAAAAAAGTTATGCTGTGAAATTGAGTAAGTAATAAAACTTCATATAGTAGATAACACTGGCTTTCTGTATAAGATGTGTAAATCTTAGTATTATGCTTTCTGTATTTCTTCTGCAAGTTGTTTTAGAAATGTGAATAAAAATGTGAATAAATCTTGATCTTATGTTTATGAGGACAGACTTGTTTTTTTCTTTCCAGTACTGAGCAAAGATCCTCTTTAAAACTCTTCCTATTAAAACATTGCTGTGTGCCATTATCAAGAAATCATTAATTATGAATGTGTAACTTTCAATGTCTGTTTTATATCAGATAATTGACAGTCAAATGTTTGTTCCAAAGACTAAGAAGTTATGTAAATTCTGTCATCTAATTATTTGTCTGTGAATGGGCTTTTCTGCTAACTTGCATTTTGGTTTCTTTAATGTAGCTTTATGAAGCAGAAAATAAGCATAAGACTTTGCAGAAGGAGTTTCAGCAATACAAAGAACAGCAAAGTAGCAAACCAGAAATCCAGCTACAATCAGAAATAAATCTTCTCACTTTAGAAAAGGTATATTGGATTTTTCTGGTACTTAAAAATTGTCACAATGGTGTGTTCACAGATAAAGGGGATGTAGAAAATTAACCACTGTGTTGGTTAATTCACCACACCACTGTGTGATGAAGTGCTTAATTTGTCCATTTTGGTTTACTTTTTCCAGTAATTTCTTCAGAGTTTAAATATTCAGACACAAATAAGGTCAACAGTGTTGAGTGTTGACCTTATTTCTGTAGAGGAAGCAGTAATATTAGAGGCTAAAACAGGAAAGAACCATAACCTATATATTTAAATCATGATTTATGATGGGGTCCCTGAACATTCTTTTTAAAAAAAATAAAGAAATATGATGATTTTCTTGAGGATTAATTTAAACTGGTTTTCCATTATTTGCATTTTTGTAATTAAGTATTTCTGCAAAGAGATTGTGTCACTTATCAATAACATGTCATAAATTGATTTGCTTAAAAGCCATATATTCCCACAGGAGAGAATTTAATTAAAGCCATAGATGTGGGCACTGACTGCTCAGAATTATTATGAGATTTGAGTTAAATTATTGGTAAAATAAGCTGAAAAAAAAATTAGGTTCAGCTTTCTGGCGCTAGATATACTCAATATGGCCAGTCTATATATTACTGTATGCTTTAATAATATCTAATAATGCAAGCAATTGATGCAAAATATTTTTGTTTCTACAGCCTATTTAAGCTCTTACATTAAATATTTTTAGATTTCCTGTTTTTCTTAGATGAATTAAACAGACCAATGCTTTAAAATCTTCACAAATTTAATGAAAATAATTTTTGTCAGATTCAAAAAAAGCACTTCCTCAAATATGTGAAAAATACTTTATTTCATATTGGTTTTTTGTGTGCTTCATAAATATTTTGTCTTTTATCTATGCAAAAAAATTGTCTTAAAATTAATTTTTTACAGTAAAAACTTTTAAAAGTTTATTTAGTCAGTAAGATCATAGGTTCACACTAGATACAGAGATTTTAAAGAGTGGTTTGAGCAGATGAGTATTTCAGGGAAAAGAATTTCAGTAGGACATATCTTCCATCAGCAAACTAAAAAATAATCTATGTACCTTTTTAAGAGAGATTTATCCACCACCTTTTTCATTAAATTAGTGTTTATAACCTTACTTCAAATAAAAAAGTGGTGAGGGGATGGCTGATCTGAGAATCTTAAATGTAAAGGTTAATCAGCAGATTTAGTGCTAAAAACTAATCTTTTTGTATAGGCAGCCATCCAATAAAAATAAGGTTATATTTTAAACAAGAAAATGTTCTTGTGCCATAATATTTATGTTATATTGTATAACAGCTTTAGATGATGTTGTATATTACGCTACATAAACACTTTTCTTAAACCAGACCATTTGTATATATACATCTTTCAGTGATTGTTACTGCTGTTATTGCTTCAGCTGATATGATTTTAATTGCTTTTAGGTTGAACTTGAAAGAAAGTTAGAGTCAGCTACCAAGTCAAAGCTTCACTACAAACAACAATGGACGAGGGCTTTGAAAGAACTTGCAAGATTAAAACAGGTAGGCAGGTTTTTTTTTTTGGTTATATGAGACAACCAAATTATTGTCATGTTTGAAGCCGCTAGGGTTCCTGTTACCTACTGTTTTCATATTATTAGTGTTTGTTTTTTTAAAGTAAAACTCAGCTAGGCTTTTAACAAAAATGAGAACAGCAAGACTGGCTTGTTTGACTTTGAACTCAAGAAGGGCTAAGACTCAGACCTGTAAAGAAGGTTGAACTATTTAAAAGCAGATTTGATTAGAAAAATAAAATGTTTAATTTAATTCCAAATAATTCTGCGTCAGCACTTCCAGGAAAATATTTAGCTACAATCCCAAACTTCTCAGTCAGTTACATAATAATGGTTTTGTATTTTAATAGTATAATGAAGGGTAAAGGTGAGAAATAAATCTTCACTTTTAGAAATAAGGGTTTAAGTTGTGATAAGCTATCTTCATTTTATACATTCATCTTAAACTGGATATGAAATGTTTCTGTGATTTGGAAATCCTAACCTTGTATACTGCTGTGACATGCTATTTTACTGATAGGTTTTAATCGAGCTCTTGTATCTCTGTGGGCATCTATATAAATACAATTATATACTTTTGACTTGAAATTACTCTGTTTAAACTTGCAGTAGTAACAGTTTCATCTTTGTTGAATCTGTATTACATGTTGTGTTTTGTCGTCATCTGTCTTTCATTAATTCCAGTAAACACTAGCTAAACAATGTGCTTAAAAATGGCTAGCACTTCTATTGGCCCTGACAAACAAATTAGTACATTCTTAATCCAAATTGATTCATGAAGAAACCTTGACATGACCACAAAGCTTCAGTATTCAAGTTTAATAAAAGGTTTTCATTGCCTGTATTCACACCTGCTTCCAGCTTGAGAAACAATTTTGGGTGTTGTTACAGATCATGGTACTTGCTTCATTTCTACTGATAGAATATTCAGGTTTTGGAGAATAAGGAGTTAAGCCCTTGTTCTTCTAATTTATAATGCTTCTTTAATCTGTATTTCTGTTTGAAGAGAGTCGATGCACACTGCATTGACTTTTTAGTTAGTAAGTTAAAACTAACCTTCATTTGTAGTCTTCAATTTTTCATTTGTCCCTTTTTTGCTGAGTGATAAAGGTAGTCATCTCCACTTTGTGAAACATCTATGCTTGAGAAGGTGATAGGAGAAAGAATATAAATCTTATGCTTCTGATTAAGATTTCTTCAGCAGTCATGAAATACCCAGCCTATTTTTTCTTGCCGTGTTTTAAAACTCCCGTAGAATAAAAGCAAAGATTGTCACTTGCTACACTAACACTAATGTATATCATTATCAGGTTCTTGTTACAAATTTCATCACCATAGACCTAATGAGCTGAATTCATTAAATATATGTTGGTTTCAGCTGAACCTCTTGATGAATGTCTGAACCATGGAATAAGTTGGCATGTACAGAGAATTATGCTACCTAAAACTTCTACAACAGAACAAACCCTTTCAAAGCAGTTTCTTGTGGTTTTTATACTCCTATCTATACTTAGTCTATTGATAAAGGTATTAAGTGACTTTAAAGAGCCAAATAAAAGTTGAAGCAAATCTGACAAAAAAAAAAATACTGTGTTTTAAATATAAATTTGGAAACTGTATCTTAAAGAATTCTAGATTTGCTGTAGTTCAGATGATTTGTGCAATTGTGCATAATCTGCCCAGTTTCTTGTTTGAATTGGATTAGTACCATGTTAATTTTTGTGTTGCCTCTGGTGAATAGCCACAGGGCTGCAATCTCTGCCAGTAATTTGTCACACCAAAGCTCTCTAGAGAACTATACAAAACATTTGTGTAGTGAGGATTAGACGCTGAAAGCCGTATCTTAGATTGTTAATAAATGTTAATGACAAAACCCAGCTGGTAAGTCTTGGAAATGAGATCTAATGCTTTGTGCCCATTGCCAAAAATATGTTTAAATGGCAATTTCCATTACTTAAAGGTGACCTGGTGCAGTCAATTTGTGAATTAAAGAAGCATAATCTACAGACTAAGCATTTAGTAAAATGCTCTTCTGATTTGCAACCATAAAAGTCAATGTTTCCTTAATTAAAAAGCTTTCTTTTACTTTGGAACTAGTTCTTGGCACACATCTGGGATAGTTTTATATTTTGCAGAATATGAGACACAGCACATAACTTTAAGTATGGGACTGTTAATAGAATATGATCTAAGCTTCTCCACGGGAAGGACTTTGAATGCTAAACACAGTGCCAGTTTTACTGAAGTACAGGAAGGCACACAAACATCATATTTACCTGTACTTAGAAAATACAGAAGTTAGTTAAATTTAAACAGTTTGTACAATTGAGTGACAATATACTTCACCTAGCTTACTTTTCTCTGTTACTCAGTAAAAGTCTATTAATACTTCAGTTGTTATAGCTGTTCAACTATAACAGTTGTTCAATTGTTCAATGTTTAGGGAGACAAAAATGTCATCAAATTAGCTACATAATCTGTGCACCCAGGTAAATGTTTCTGGAGATATAATTTCTGGAGAGTCCAAAAACTATTTCAGTGTTTGCTGATTAGATGATCTAAATACTACAGATGAGATTTACTTTTTTTTTTTTCATTTGTGTGACCACTATTTCTCAGAGGAATCCTCACTATTTATGTCATTTTCAGCAGTTGATTATCTCAGTTAATCTATATAGCCAAAATCTCAAAAAACATCCAGTGTTCTCAAAGAAGTATTTTTATAAGTTTTCTTATGTGTTTTGTCCTACAGATCTGTTAGAACCAGCACTGAGATATTTGTTTAAAAGAGCATAGACCATATTGGCTGGCTGACAATTCATTCTGTCATGTCCAGTATCTTGTTTATCCACTCAGTTCTATACACAAGTATATTACTTAAGTGATTAATTTATAGCTAATTTAGCCAAAGATAGGATGTAAATCTTTGTTAAAAAAAAAAATAAAAGGCACACACACGCACACAAAAAAAACCCCACAGTTGAAAGTGTAAATCTTGGTTAAAAACTGTGTCTTGAAATCATCCAGGCTCTTCTACTGACTTGTCAGCTCTGGGTTATTTTCAGAAAACTTTACTTGAGTTCCTTAACTTCAATTGTAAGTTTTTCCCACAGGCTTGCATGGTATGTATGAGTGGGAGAGTGAATAGTGGCTGCTATTTAGCCATTGTTTAGTCTAGTGTATGTATGTTTACATCTCCCTTTTGGATTTATAGGCAGCTATGGCAAAATAAAGATTGTGCTTCCTTGATTTAAGAGCCTCTTAACTAAAGCACCTGGTGGTTCCTTAATGATCTGATTATAATTCAAATTTTGATGGTTTTTTATTATCAGTTAATTTTTGTTAAATGCTGATATTTCTGTAGTATCATAACTTTCAAAATGTGATTGAGATTTCCACCATAGAAGCTTCTGGAACAGTACTGCATTTCTCAATCACTACATTAGAGATGAAGTCTGATGACGAGAATTAGTAAAACCTTGAAGTAAATTATCTGATAACTAGAATGCAGACTTGATTGGTATGGATTTGTTTGTGGAGGAGAAAGGAAAAATATTAAATCAATAAGTGAAAGGAATATTGTCAATGAGTTTTATTTAAGGGGGGGGGGGGGGGGGGGGGGGGGGCTGAAGGAAAAGGAGTAAGAGGAATAGCAGGACTAGCAATGCTGAGAAAGTAGTGCAGGAGAAGGTACCTGGACCAACTAATACTTATTGCAGAGATAATTCTTGATGTTCTTGCATATGATATTCTTGATTTATCTGTTGCTGCTTACTGTGGGATAGTGGCTGATGATTGGGTGATGGTGCAAGTATAATATATTTCCATGTGTTTTGAGTTTCTGGTAGGTTTTATTCTGTTCACAAAGTTGCCTTTAGTCCAGCAACTGATGATTCTGGAGTGTTCCCTTAGATAAAATTTAAGAATGCAAAATGTTTAGAAACAAAAATTGTGGTAATACTTACGGAGATTTGAAATAGCCTGATGGTCTGAAATAAACAGTTGGGAATACATCTGAAATGTTCCTTATTTTAGGATATATTACAGGAGTAAAGTTTAGAAAGTTAGCCAGAAAGTCTTGACTGAAAATTTTCAGCATGTAGCATGTATGTTTAAACTTGTGTGCACTGAGATGCACTTGAAGAATACCAAGTATTCAATTATAACTCAATTTTTCGGTATACACATAATAAAATTAAGAAGTTACAAGGGCATTTAGCAATGTTGGACTTAATTTTATGCATGAAGTAAATGTGCAGAAGTGTTTTATTAATACTGGATTTTTAATTTGAAACATCTCAAAAGAAATTCTGCTGCATTTCAAGTCCTATTATACAGTAGAGGTTCATTAATTCTCTGTTTAAAAAAGAGTGCTTGTTGCTCAGTTGATTTTTACATTGTCATGGATTTAATACATGAGTGTCTGATAAAATTACACCAGTTTCATCACTGAGATTAATAAAAAAATCCTTCCTTCTCTCTTACCATAACAAAATAGTCTTTTTGTGGTCTCTCAACATATTATAACAAACTTGTATAAAAATTAATTTAAAGTGAGCATACCTCCCTTCTTATCAAACTGTTGTAAATCCATTGCTGTCTTTTTGTATTGATGGATTATTAGGAAATGGGCTTCTCATGCTCTTCTATGAATCGTATACACAGAACAAGTTTTCTATTATGCACCCTACAAATTTTTATGACGGACTTTTTAAAGGAGTCAAAGACTAATGTTGGGAAAGACATTTGAAAATCACATATTATGAAGTGTGTAATGTAAATTGCACACTCTTTAAATTATTAAAGAATTCCTTCTCACTTGTTTTAGTGTGTGTTTTCCAAACTAGACTGTCATGAGCTGAATGGGAGGAAAATCTTGCTTCAACAAATGTTGATATTTATTTTTTTAATATTATTGAGCTTAAGTGTTGCTATTCAGGGCCATAGTGTGGCACACATCTAAAATTCTTGACTTGCAGTGATTTAAATTAATCTGGACGTTGCCCTCTATACCCGAAATAAGTAAGTACCAAATATTTGCCATGTTTTATCACAATTCTATTAGTAGTCAAATTAGAGATCAAATCACATTTACTGAAGGGAATTCCTAGCCAAATATTAGCTTGGAGACAAAATGTACTGATAAACATCTCTACTGAGTAAACAAGAATTTAGCACACTATATTTAATCTTGCTTCCTTATGAATCTAGGACTATTATCCCTAGCAAAGAGCATGCTCACTAGTGACATGGGTTAGTTTTTCGTTTGTTGGGTTTCTTTGATAGAATTTTTCTCCAGAGAAGAATATCAAAAGGAACAGGAACTGAACAAAGGATTCTGCAGCAAAGCCTTTCTTTTCCTTCATCTCTTCTTGGTTTTTCATCATTCTGTTGTCTTTTTCTACGTTTAATTAAACATTATTAAAGATATTTCTTAAAAAGTTATTGTTCTGAAATTAATTCATTCAGTGAGGGCATAAAGGACCAATCTGATTAATATGAAAGCACTGAGAGTAGTGTGTCCTCTTTCTGGTCTGATATATCGAGCTTCAGACATTGTTCTATTAGCCTTAAGAATACTTCTAAACTATACTAGTATAGATGGTATACTTCTAGCTATTCTAGCACTCTTCTAACATATACCTCTTCTTTGAGCTAGTCTAAAATGCCAAAATGCCTTTTTTTGCTCTCATTTTGCTATTGTGATTGTGTTGCTGAGCAGCAGAATTGTATTGATCATTGAACTTCCCTGCCTCAAACAGAAACACATCAGCATGACATGAAACCTGTGGTCCCACATGCTGCTTCTGGCCAGCATGCAGTTATGCCTTTCTTCTGCTGTGCAGATGGAAGAGCACTTTCAAAATTTTCCCTCATAGATCTGAGTAAGATACTTCAAAAACTGAAGGACTGGATTATAAGGCTACTACTCAGTGTAGTCCATCATCTATGTGATGATTTTTGTTTATGTGAAAGCATTGCTGTCCTAGTAACAAGTGTTACTGTGTTTTGCTTTAGTTTTGCAGTATTTAGTTTTCAGTCAATTTTTGCACAGTGTACCTCCAAAATTAATTGTCTCATGGAATTACTGAGATACACCAGTTGTACAGACTTAGAGTATTACCCCAGCTTCCCATGACATTTTAAACCCCTAGTTTAAAATGGGACAATGAAAGCATGAATAAACTGAATTGCAGAATAAGGAGTTTCCTAAAATTAATCCTTATCTCATGATCTGCAAAAATATTTCTTGAACTGAAACTAATACTATTACAAATCAGAGTAAGCTGAAAGGCTTATAAAAGAGACAATGGCAATTAGAAATGCTCTCTTGTGTAAAAGAGTTAAATTTTTGACATTACCTAAGAGGAAAGTGTCAGTCTCATCCTCCACAGTAATAAGATGGTTTTCCTACAGATGAGTAAGTTTCTTGTAAATTACATTCTTATATAATTTATTGTGAGTCCTTCAAGGCTATTACCACTGTTAGATAATGTCAACAAGAAAGCCAGGATGTACTAGACAAATTAATTTCAAAACCACAATTTGGATATGCAGGGGTTACTGTATCTCTTCAGTGATATCTGTGTTAAGTTTCTTATACATGTTGTCTAATCAGGAGAAGTAGCTAATCACCAGGCTGAATTACTGGATTCTTTACCTGTAAAGAGAGAGAACTAGAAATTTCTAGGTCAAAAGCTCCTCCCCTGAGACTAAATAGGACTTCACAAAGGAGGTTGAACATAATCAAAATTTTAGATCTCGTGTTTGAGTTAAGGTGTAAGTCACAACTTTTTTTTTTTTTTTCCTGAAACAGTGGTATTTTAATTTGCTTAACTCTGTAAAGCATTTAGGTTAGGAATTGAATGGGGACACTGAGAATAGGGATTGATGGTCTCAAAAAGAAGTAAATATTAGCTTGTCCTCATGCTTCTAGATTCTATGTAATTGAGGTAATCAGATTGACTGTCAATGAATGTACTTGTTCTGTTAACTGAAGTTGAGCTGGGTTTGTGGCAACCTGCTTAAGACAAGACCATGCTCAGTGTTTTTTCTTACTACCTACATTTAGCAAAATAAACAACTCTATATTATTCCAATTACCAAAATATTTAGGATAATTCCATTCTTCCTCATAATTTGTTTATTCCATTCTTCTTTTTAGCCTGTTTTATACTTGAAATGTGGCTTTACTCTCTGGGTACTGTTGCCTATCTGCATATCTGGGAACCAGAGAATACCACTGGGATATTTGCTGGGACTTAAGAGAAGAAAAACCCAACAAAACCCACTCTCTGCCTCTTGTTTCAAATACTTCAACAGTACTACTTTATATGGAGTATTTTTTTCAAGCATAAATGTCTATCTTCATTCAAAACTTTCTGTGGTCAAGAAGCTCCTTGCATGCTCAAGTATATTACTTAAGTGATTAATTTCCATTATTTTAATAACTTGAACCATGTCTGTAGTTGAAATATACCTAGTTTTGAGTTTCAGCCATACTTTTCATTGGGTGAGAAAGACCCAGCTAGTGAAATGATGTGAAATATCAGTCTGGTCCATACAGAGTTGGGCAGTAGATGCACAAGATCTAGAAACACAGCTTGAATAGCTGAATAACCTCCAGCAGCCCTCAGTCAGTCAGTTAAATACATTGTGAGCCAGCAATTGCATTCAGGCTTTAATGTCCTTAATAGACATTAATATTCCTTAATAGTGAATATATTCTTTATTTATTTATTTGTTTCCTTTTCAAACTGTTTCCTTTTCATTTTTGTCCCCATAATATCCCACTCTTTACACATCCACCTTTTCCCTTCTGACTTACATTGTATCATCAGCAAACGTCCATAGTGATTTCTTCATTCATGAATATGTTGAAGGGTAGATTCTTGTGGAATTCCACTTTCACTTTCTTGCTCTTGTGGAGATGATCAATTGCTATCCTTTCTCTGGTGTTCGAAACTCTGAGTCAGCTGGGAGTGCTTTTTGCTGTGACTGTTTAAGTGTGTGTTTGGTAGGAGGTTTCTTTAGTGTGGTGTTCAGTTGGGTTATTTAAGACTGCTGGGAAGAGTGACTTTCATAGAAAAGCTAGATTAGTTCTTCCTGTATACCCCTACAACCTGTTAGGTTCAGGTTTAGTTATGGTTTCAACCAATTTGGCCACTATGGAAGTTAAGTTCTGCTGGTACTTTCTGGGTATTTCTAAGGCCTCTATTTAAAGAAAGAATAAAATAAAAACTGGAAAAATTATTTTGTTGTGTAAACACAAGTATTGGTGATGGATTAAGACTAACTTCCAGTCAGTGTCACGACTTTTTGTTTGGATTACCTTATAATTCTTGAAAATTCTAAATATCAGCAGTCTGTAGTACCTTGTTTTAAGCAACTTGTTTCATCTACAAATACATGCATATCCTGTATGTATTTGTAGATATTCTCAGACTAATGCAGAATAGGTTTTATTACAGTATTTTCCAACCCTTTTCCACATAAAAAAAGGGCTTCCCTCACATGGGAATGTCCTTCTTCAATGAATTCTTGATGGGGAAGGAGGCACTATGGCCTTATCTTCACCAAGTGCTTTTTTAATGCTTCAGTCATCTATCAGCTGTAGACTCTTTGGCAGGATTCTTGCTTCTGGTTTTTTTTTTTATTAGTATGTATCTCTTTAGCAATATGTTCTTCAAGATTTATAACCTGTCTCACTGAAGTTTTAACATTTAATTTAGCAGGCTGGTGTATTAAATTTAGTATAAAATCAAAGTTTTTAGAGTCTTTAGGGTTGATTTCTTTTTAGGTGCTTTTCAATTGTGTTGCCTGTTCACATTAACAGTTGAAGTCTTTTTTCTAATATCAATTCCTTTTGAAATTCAGATTTTTCTTGCCCATTATTTATCATCAACAGGGAGTGTACACTGGCATCTGGAAACTGCCTTATTAAAATCTTTCAAATATTATGAAGTTGACTGTGTAAATAATATGCTTACACATATCAAACAAAGCAATTACCTCTTTTTAACCCACATAATAAATATATATGGGTTGTATTAATAATCAAACACTTCAGATGAAAGCGATGTCAGAATTGCAAATATAAACTTGCACTTCACGATATGCCTAGATCCAGGATGTTTGTGTAACCCCGTCTTATTTTTTAACTACTAGTCGTTTGTCTAATTCTGGGTGTGAGACTGACTCTACTCAGTCAGTGCACAAGGTCATATGGAAAATGATAGGAAGGAAAATAAGTGGAGAGAGGACCAGGTTTACTAAACCACTTTAATGTCATTAAGTGGTAATGGATTCAAACCTTAGTTTTTTTAGTATCTGTATAGAGCTTTAAAATTAGGGCCAAGCAAACCACTAAGTTATCGAAAATTTTACGTAGTACTATACAAATGCAAAAGGACACCTTGCCAGAAATTTGTTTCCAAGGCTTATTTTTTAACCACAAGTTGTAATTTTGAAGAGAAGTTCTTGAAGCTTTGGTACTAGTCACTATGGGGCTGATGATAGAAGTTTCCTGCAGCTATTTAGCTTTTATTTTCTTAAAAAATTATTTCATATGCCATAGGGTCAAGAAATAAATCTGATTAGCTTGAGCAGTTCCAGAACTGTAAGTTTTATGTCTACCAGTTTAAGCCAGAGTTAGTAAGAGGGTTTGTTAAGAATTTTACTATTTTGTTAATGGGAAGATATCTGTTATTGGGCTGCAGTTGATCCAGCCTGGACAGGTTTTCTGTGATGGTGATAGTCAGTGGTCTTACTGCATTATAGATACCACTAGCTAAGACATTCTGTTAGCTCCTACATTTCTAATATTCCTGGAGATGTAATTGTCATGACTTCATTCCTAAAGTGCTGCTCTGTCACTGTAATTAGCACTTTTACATGTAATCACACAGTCGGCTGAGTTTTGTCTTCACCCTTTCCCACACAGCGGGAACAAGAAAATGCAATGGCTCATCTTAAAAGGCAGCAACAAGAGCTCGAACACATGAGATTGCGCTATTTGGCAGCGGAAGAAAAAGAGCTGGGAAAAACAGACCGACAAGAGCTGGAGGATATCAGAAATGAACTTAACAGGTATAAAAAATATTTGTAAGATGCCTCCCCAGTTGTCCCCTTTCCTTCTATTTTCTTGCTTCGAGTCTCAAAACAGGAGAAGATTCAATTAAATCAAAATTGACTGTCAGTTCAGTGGAAGAACACAGTTTAGTGTCCCTTAGGTAAAGATTGCATATTTGTAAAATGGAGCGGTACAGCAGTATAGAAAAATCCATGTTTAACACCACATAGTTTATTTTTTGTTAAGGTCACAGATGTACAGCACCAAACTTTTTGTCTATTTTGAACGTTCAGTTCTAAGCATAGCTGCTGTGTTAAGAAAAAACAAGGCATATTTTATCCTTATTTTGAATACATTAAAATTTTAAATCTATCTAAGGTTGTCCTCCAAAATCTGCACTAATTTTGTATGTTGCACCCTTTTGAGTACAGTTTACATTATGAAGCAGAAGCCTTAGTAGCAAGTATAGTTACATATGCACATACAAAAGATTTTGTTAATATTTAAGTACTATATTTCTTTTTAGTCATAGGTGTTTTCCCGAGAGACAGAATAATTTTTTACCTTTTACAGATTTCTTTATTTTACTTAGTAGTTCAGTTGATAAACTAAAGACTTAATACAAAGATAATCAAAGTGGGGATTAATATTCTCTAATTATTTTTATTTTACCTATATCAGGCTAAAACAACAAGAAGAGGAGAGAAAGAAATTACAGGATGCTAGAGATAATTCTGCTGGTAGAATGGATAGTCTTCATTGTAGAAAACTAAATGAGAATACAGATGATTACCTTTCTCGTCTGATAGAAGAGAGGGACACCCTGCTAAGAACTGGAGTCTATAATAATGAAGACCATATTGTAAGTGAACTAGATCGTCAAATCAGAGAGGCTATTGCAAAAAGGAACATCACTATTTAAAAGCATGCAAAAAGTTTTAGAGCCAAAATCTGAATAGAGTGACTTGTATAAGCCTATAGTACTTTGTGAAATATATAACATCATGCTTTGTTTTGCACATTATGGTCAGCTCTCTTTGAAGTCACGTAAGTGCTTGCAACATGTCAAGTTAAGCACAGTTTTAAGTTTTATGGGGCAAATGACTGGTTTTTAGTGTTTTTATACTCATATGTATATATATATAATTGTGTGCATGTGTAAATATATTTATCTTGTGTACGCTCTTCTGAAATGTTTCCTGCCTCTTCTTGTATCACCCTGACTAGGCTTATTTTTAATATTGATTCTAAGAGGTTTTTAGTCATTCAGTTTTTAAAAATATCTCTTCAGCTATACTAGGGAGAACATCGGCTGTTTTCTCTGACAAATCTCCTAATTCTGAACAGAACTAAGGCACTGACTCAATGTTAGTTTTTTTACTAAATGACAAATAATAAATTTTTGCTTCTCTGACTGCAGCTACCATAACTAATTTATGTAGTAATTAAGATACAAGGTTTTAAATTTGAGGGGGAAAATCAAACCTTATGAAACTGAAGCTGAATGAGTTATTAACTAGCCTGATTGTCCAGGGTTGCCCTAGCAATTTTGCACATGTTCTGTTAAGGCTATACCCGGGAAGATGAAGACCTTATTCAGAAGTATACATGCATTCTTACATCAATCCCTAATGAGGAAAGATACCTGAAGCCATAATTCTGAACACAAACATGAAACAAGATCTTTTCCAAGTCAAGTTACTTAAGACGTGTTTCAGAACACGTTAACTCATTACCACTTAAATTGTTTGATTGTGGAAGTACAAACAGCGTGCAAGGGAGAAATTCATAATTAATGTTAGTTTGTCCATAAGCACAATTGAAAAATTTTTGTTTTCCAGCTTTCCTTCAATTTCTGTTAGGATTTACCTAGTAACAGTAACATACAACACTGTCAATTCATTAGGCATCTCCTGTAGTCACTAGTGTTTCCATTTGAATGTCAAGTACAAAAATCATCTTATGATTTATTAGTTTTAGAATGAACGAAGATACTGGTGGAAAAAAAAAATAGTGATTTGGGATTTTTAATAAAATCAGTGAACTATCATAGAGAAGCTTGTATACGTGCGACCTTCCTGTTTTGTGTAGTATTAATTATAAAATGGGAGAAGGGGCATTTAGGTCTCCATGCATTGTTTGTTCTCCTCCTTACCATGAGTGTAGGTCCTGCTAAATAAACTATTCATTTAGACTCCTTAGAAAAGTTATAAACAAGCTGTATAAACATTGAGACCATATTCCCTGAGGAATACTTGAATACTTACCAATACCAGGCTTCATAAAAAATGCTTTTGTAAATATATTTTTCTAAGTAGTATGCTTAGAGATCCCTCTCCACTAACAAAGAAAATACCACCCTCTTAAGTCCCATAGAAATCCATGAAATGCAGTTTTCAAATACTGTTTACATCATGCTGTATGATATCCTGATATAACTGATGCAGGGTTATATGCAATTATTTTAAATTATGTGGAAAGCTTCTATCTTGACAAGAAAACTTGTTCATAACTTTTTTTCTTCAAATGCTTGCTTACTTGTGTAGTTTCTTCTCTAGACACTGGAGGGTGCCTGAGACTTAAATATTGCAAAAACAATGTTGACTAAATTTTCATAACTGGTTGGTTTTTGAACTGGCATTTTATGACTTTTTGGGTGTATTATTTTATGAAATAAAATTCAATTTTCAAGTAAATATTAAAGACTTCACATCTATTTTTCAACTTTACATTTATTTTTTTAACTATGGATTTGAGCAAATAATTTTATTTACTATTTCCAGTCATATGACAGTCTTTAGTGCTTGAATCTATAAAATAATAAACTTGTGTATGAAAGTTAATTTCACTTTTTGGTTTATTTTAATATTTAATGTTTTAATTGAGTCTCTTCTGTGGCATATGTAAAAAATTACAATCATGTTGCTGTATGTTTTAAAAAGAAACTTAAGTTTTTTTTCTCGCAAACCAAATACTGAGTAAAATGAAACACAGAATGCTTGTTTTTTAAAAACATTTATAAACTTCATCATTTAACCTACTTGGGTCCATTTAGCCACTTGAAAGATCACAGCTTACAAGGTGCAAAGCATAAATGTTGTGATTATTAAAACAACTTGCATAGAATATGTTTTGGTTTATAATCATTACTCTTAGTGTTCGTTGTTTGTATTATAATGAGGAAATTATCGATAATCTAAGCTGTATGTTTCTATTTCATTTTTTCCAGATCAATCTTCTCTGCTTCAGTCTGAAGTAGTCCAAAAGCAAAATACATGTTTGTAGTAGATATTCATAGCAGACATCAGCTCAATATTACTGTCTTTCAAAGAAAATTTTTATGTTGCTTTCCATTTGCCTTTTTATTACCTCAAAGCCATTTTGGAGCTTAGAGTTATTCAGTGGAAAGACCAAGTACCATTTTTTAATCAGAAACGTCTCAAAATTTGCATCTTAATCTTTCTTCATTGCATGATGAGATATGTCATTTCAAACAGATGCTCAATAAAATAAAGGCTGCTGGAAGTGAGACCTGTGTTTAGACGTTCAGTCCTGGTTCCAAAGGCCAGAGAAAACAGGAAGAGGAGCGACTGCTAGACCCTTGAGGAATTCTAGCAAAGTGCTATTGATTTTATTGCACCCAGGTTTCACTAAGGAAGCTGATGGAATTATTTCAAACCACGTACCCTTGCTGATATGTTTCTGTGAACCCAGGTGGCAAGGGTGTCAGTTCCATGTCAAATCAGTTCCAGCATCATCTATCTTAGGATTTGGGCCCAAAACTTGCAGTTCACTTTGCATGAGGAAACTTTGATTATAGCCTGTGCTTGTACAGTATAGTCTAGCAAAAAGGCATTTGAAAACAATGTTATTTTTTCATTATAATCTTCAGGCAGATGATCCCTCCCTGTGTCTTTATGTGGTAATTTTTCTTCCAGTGGTGAGGACTTGCTATTGCCTCAAATTACTTACTACAGGTTTAAATGTAGGCTGGAAACCTGGATGTAGTTATTTGATTGATATGGAGCATTTGCTAAGATTTGGGAAATCTTACAAAGAAATAGACCTTTTTCATCTGAGAATTGTTAGACCACTTCACAGAAAAATTGTGTCTAAATTCTTATTTACATATTAAAGCAGTGGAGTGCTTATATCTATGAAAAAAATGTCAAATTATTTCAGAAAGAGTGCAATTTTGCTTTGAATCTGAATTATTTAAGTATATAGTTACATTACTGATTTTTATAGTATTTTTTTTATTTTGGAGTGAATCTCTAACCACTATTTCTATAATATTTCAGCAGTGATCCAACACTTTTGACACTAATACGCTTACTAAAGTACTGTTGTGGAAAAGAAGCATTGTTATACCTGGCACAGAGCTTTCAAGTATTCAATCTGCAGTTTAAATGCTTCTCCCTTCCATCCACCACCTTAGTGCACTGCTAAAAACATAAGTCCTTTATCATATCTTCTAAGTGCTACTGGAGTATTTATACCAGTTATTACATATTTACACAATTATTTATTTTGCTACTACTGTACCTAAATGATCATGACCTGTGTCAGGGCTTAGATGGGAAACACTAGCCTTGCTATTGTTAAAGATAGAGCTGTAGAAAGGCGGCTGCATACTTAGATCTCATTTCATTTGTTTCTCCAGGGGGTTGTATTAGTATTTTCATTAGAAATGTTTTTACAGATGTCAGCTATCCAGATATGAAGTCCCTGTAATGGAGAAGCAGTCAGGAATTTGGCATTCAGAACAGAGAGGGGAAAAAATCATCTTTGAGAGACTAATTTATAGAAAAATAATTTACTGACTTTCTGATGTGTAAATGTACAGTAACCTTATGGCAGCTTTAATGCAGAGTAATTGAATTCTTGCAAGTATTGTTATTTTCTATTCTGAACTTGAAAAAATAGTACAACCTGTCTATCCCCATCACTGAAGACCAAAATAGTCCACATTAACAATGCTCCTGGAAAAGTGATGTCCCTTGCTTTGTAATCCAGTACTCTTTTATCCACGTGCAAAACTTGTGGTAGTTTGACAGCATTTTAAACTATTTATGTATTATTACAAACGTTTTGTTTAACAACATACAAAGTGAGTAGTTATGGAAATGTAATGTCATTAATTGTTTGAGCAAAATGTTTTAATGCAAAAGATTTTACTGACACATAACTGCATTGACAAAATAATACAGCATCAAACATTACAGTGGGTTTACTGGGGCAGATGGAGGCTAGGAGAACAGTCCACAGCCTAATATTCTTTCAGCAGTACATTGCTCACAGCTTTAAATGTATTATGAAAAAAACTTCAAATTTGAAAATTGTTATGTACTGTGAATATCATATATTTTGTTTTACAAAGGCAAATGTAAATAGAGCAGCAAAATTAAATCACCATTTTGAGGAGCAGGCAATCAAGCTAATACATTTTTTTGTAAAATTCAAGTTTAAGAGGTAATGGTAAATCTCCAACATTTGTGAATTTGCTTGATAGTATAAATGAGAGTATTTTTTCCTTTGGTTTTGTGATCTGGAGGTACAGAAAATAATTTTATTGATCTCATGTTAAGTGATGTTCAGACATCAGACTATCAGTATGTTTGCCTGAAACGGCTATTTTTAATAACAGGATTAATACTCTAATAAAATAGATCATCCCAACCGGGAGTGGAAAGCACCATGAGCTGCTTTTTGCTTTATAATTTAAGTGTGAACACAGCCAACTGGACATGATGCTTCTCATCCAAATAATTAACACAATTTAGTATTCTGTTAGAGACTGGACTGTGGGTATGGTGCCATGAATACCCATATGGTTTTGTGGTAGACCACAGAGTCTACCTACTGCTCCAGGAGCCCTTCAGGCCAGGTATAGGGCATGCTCAGTCTACATAACATTTTTAATATTTCCATAGCATGTTTAATGCATGTTTTCCTGTATGTGGATGCAATTATTTAAATACTCTAACTTATCTTGGTTAGAGTTTTTAAATTAACTTGGTTTATCCTGACTGTCTGATAATAAAAAATTGGACTGAATAAATGAGGCTAATAACCCAATGTAAAAAAAACAACAAACAGACAAAACAAACAAACAAACAAACACACAAAAAAAAACAACAAAAAAAAACCCCCATAGAATATCAGAAGCAAGAACACACCACTACCCCAGGGAATTTGTAGCTACATTTCTATAAGAAGGCACTGCTATTTGTGGAAAAAGTTGCACATGTCAGCAACATGATTATGTATCTCTTAAGCAAGTTTTACCTCCTGTCCTATCCTAACACATCTTGCAGAATGCATGGCTTTTTGTTTTTTTGGCTCTCTGTCTATTATCTTGCTGCATATATACAGCAAATCAGCAAATCATTAAAAATGGTCCTAAAGTTTTACCTGAGGATACAGATTTTTATGCTACTGGTGCCATTTATTTGTCTATAGCATCATCAATGCAGACAGCTTGTAACAGCTAATTAGAAATAGGTAAGCTAAGCAGAAGGACATCTTAAAAGCCATTATCTCTCAAACACTGTGTAAGGGGCTAGCAATGGTTTGCCATCCTGTCCAACAGCTTGTGTTGCAATACTTTGTGCAACATAGCAAAATCTTTGGAGTTGCTCGTGAAGGCAAACCCACTGGTAGGCTGAGGGTTGGATGCCAAGTCTGTGGTTTCTCTGCCCATCTTGGTTATAGGGTGTTGAGTGATTTTAAACAGGGATCTAGGCTTTCACTTCCTATCAGCAAAATGAGAATAATGTGGGAAAAGCTTTTCTGTGTAAGTGGATCACCAAATGCTTTAAACTCCAACTATTTGTGTTGTTTGCAGTTGTCTTAATGCCCTTAAAGGGATAAATACTGACTTCTATGGAGATGCTTCAGTGAATCAGTACGAGCTATTTACTTTGCTCTTTTATAGTAGATAAATCAGTACATTCTTTCATTGTTCTTGATAATTACCAATTCACCTGAAACCTTTAAAAAAAAGCAAAAATTACTTCAATCCTTCTGTGTAACTCTAATTTCTAGGGCAGTTAAGGGTGTCTAAGGCTGAGACTTTCCACAAAATGCTAGGTTAGCCTTTTAGTTAAGACATTAATTAAATAAAATTATTTGACAAAGGCAGGAAAAAGGACAAAATATCTGAGTTTTGGGTCTGCCACAAACAAGACTTTTTTTTTTTATTGCTATGGGGTAGTACTACTTACTCTGTTTCTCTCTTGGTAAGATGAAGGCGATTCCTCATTATACTGATTCTTTGATGAATAGCTAGTTAATGCTTGGTTGTTACAGCTATTATATAAAGAAAAGGTCAAGCATTTTTTGCCATATCCCATCTATTGAGTAAATAAGTAATTGCAAGGATTTTAGTGAAAACTTTTATAGGAAAATCATTGCACAACTTATTTGTATTGAAATACTAATAAAAATAAATCCCTATCATCCTAACAAACGTGACATATACTTCTGGAAATTAATCTTGAAGATGGAGGAGGCCAACTCTTATTTAAGTAATTCTCAAATGCTGTGAAACCAGCAGGCCACTGCCTGCATGCCAAATGTGACTGTGCCCATGAGATGGTCACAAACTCTCTATCCCGATCTGGAGCTCTATACAAACATTCAGGAGCTGCTGGGCCACAGCTTGGGCCACAGCAGAAGGAGGAGATGATTTTGC